TATGTTAGGCTGCGAATTGCGCGTCAACTTCTTCCTTGACTGCCGCACATTAAAAACTTGCTTCTCGAAATGTGTTTCAAATCCACAGATATCGTTGTAAAAGTTTCTTCTTTAAAATTTAATTTTCACCTCTGTCAATTGCGGCCAGAATTGCCAGAAACTTGGAAGGCCATTTTAATTAAAAATACAGAATCTGCTTTTGTTAAGAATCAAAATTTACAAAAATTTTCACTCGCAACAAAATTTATTTCTATTTAATAATAAATATCCATTTTTTCCTAAAAATAAAACAAAATGGTGCTTGTAAAAAAATATTTGTGACGATTTTGAAAGGAAATTCATTATGAGGTAGCAATTTAAAAAAAAGCGGTAGTTTCACTTACTAAAATAAAAGAGTTTTCGTCTCGCTTTGTTATAACAAATTCTAGCCTAATTTCTATGTGACACGTTTTGAAACGAGACACAAAGTTGAGCAGATGCAATGTAACACCACTGTCACTTTGACCGCGTGAATCGTGTGTGGGAACGCGCGTAGAAATGAGATTCTGGTCTGGCGAAAGAAGAGATTCAGACTTTTTAGGCGCCCTTGGTAGTTGATCGCTCAGCACTTACATGGAAGTATCGTTTTGCGTGGGAGGAAAGAGCAGCGTGTAATTTTGCGCAGTATCATTTCAGAATCATGGATATTTGAAAAGCGCAAAATTTTATTTTAGGCTAAAAGTTTTTGCTTTTATCACAGGCATCACAGCCTGTGTGCCACGTTCTGTTTTAGTTACCTAAATAATATTTAAATCTGCAAACATAGAACATTTTAAATTTTCTCCTGATTTCCAGGTCTTGTTCCCAAAAATTTTTGGAAAGTTAAAAACTGCTGGAAAAGACTTAATGGAATATTAAGAGCTGCTTTTTTCTTCAAGAAAATGACGCATATACTCGAAAACTACCCTGCCCTGTTTTATCACAAACAATTTCTCTTGACAGCAGATTTCCAATTGTGAATTAATAGATTTTCCTTGAGATAAACCAAAAAAATTAGGTTTTTAAAGTGGATTTTCCAACAATCTAGCGACCATACACATTCCTGAGTTTAGCTCTTTCGAATGGGGTATTCCGCAAGTGCCTGTGTTCAAAAACATAAATGTCAGCGTGTCCCAAAACAATTACAGTAAGAATTGTTACTTTAAATTTTGAGCAGTTTTTTCTGTATCAGCTTGGAAAAAATGCGAAGCGAAATTATAATTATGAGGCGCAATTAAAGGATTGCGCTGATTGGAGGCGGAATGGAAACGGTGTGGCGCGAAGGCGTGCAAAAGCATCGTTCAAAGCAATGCACCTGCGGTTGCTGCGGCATGAATGGGTCGGTTCGTTGATGGGTGCGCACCCCTCCCTCCCTCGCGCACCCCTCCGGCGGCCCCGTCGCAGCATCGATCGGCCGGTGCCGCCGCCGCCGCTTTGCGAGACTGCACGCAGAAAAGCAAGCCTTCCGTCGACGTGACCTGACCCGGCCGCGGAGCGCGGGCGGGCGGGTCAAGGTCGCGCACCCCTCTCGCCGGTCCATTCACCCGCCGCCGCTCCATTCATCCACCGGATCACTTCCGGCCGCGACCCTTCCGCTCCCCATTCACTCTTTCCTCAGCTTCTTCCCTCAACTGATCTGATTTTCCTGAAAATTTATCCAACAGTATTAATGAAGCACTAAATAATTGAATTGTACTGGATTTTCCTGTGCGAGTGTGTATGCCTGATCAAAGTAAAATTGTCATTGACTCATTCTAAAGAATGCAATAATATTTTTTAAGTAAAAATTTCAAATACTTGGCAATGTCGCAGAGTTTCTACAGATGTAAATATATATTAAAAACTTATATTCCCAAAGTATAATAATGTGGTGTAAAATGTTCACAACATCATCATATATTTTGAGAAGAAAACTTCTGTTCAAGAGAGAGGCTATTTTATATATTTAGTTATAAGTGAAAACCAGTCAATATATTTTGGTCATTGAAGGCCTTGTTGAGTTCAATGTTTATTGAAATAGAAATTTTCTGACACAAAATATTAATTCTGATTGTGATTATAAACAAACAACTTTTTATTTTGTGAAATGAAATTTATTTTGAATCGATAGTGACACTATCACTGCTATCTTATTTGGAAAAACTGTGGAAAGAAAATTTCACTAAGCAAAACCAAACTCTAATGTTTTATTTCCTATTTCATAATAAGATTAATAAGGGTGATCAAAAACCCTATAATCAGAATTATTTTTGTTATAATTGTTTTTTGGTTTTTTCTTATATTAATTTAATGCAATTATGTAGAATAAGTATCCAAAATTATCCATGTTAGCAACTATTTTACTTTCACCAAAATATTAATTTTTAGTCACTATAAATGGCTTTTGAATTTTGACATTTTCTGGATGAGTGAAATCCTTGAAACGCGATGTTAAAAAATACAAGGCAGGGGCTTTGGTTTTTGAATCGCCCAATTTTTTTTTTTTTTTTTTTTTTTTTGGTTTATGTATGTTATTTAAGTAAATGAATTACTAAATTATCACTTATCAAGTAAAATAAAATTAATACAAAAAAAAATTATAATTATTTGACGAGGCCTCAGCCAATGAAGTGATGCCAGTTCTGTTTGTAAACAAGTGAAAGAAAGTATTAATAACTTTTCAATCAAACCGATTTTTTAGGACCACTATAAAATGAATTAAAATAATCTTGATTGAGCTGAGAACAAAAATTTAATTTCCCAGGTGCATTTGAACAATATTCTCAAGAACTGTAGTCTAGAGACTTTATTTGAAATAATTAAGCATTGAATTTAATTTATTCCTCAAAATTACAATTTCCTTTTTTTGCAGGTTTTTTTTGTAGCTCTTTGTGTGGTGTAATTTGCAAGTCCTTGATAATGAGCACCGCGTGTTGCGGGATTATTTCCAGCACAAAAGAGACAAAGTAAAACCTCAAAGCAAAGAGCTCTCTTTTGACAGTAGAAAGGTTCCTAGAAATTCCATGTTAAAAAACGGAGCTTTTCTATACTTTGTACAAAAAAAAAAATTATTATTCGATGAAGTTTGTGAAACTTATTGTTAGTGGAAAAAAAGTGGGGCTGTATTTTTAATCAAAATGAATAAGAAATTTTTAGTGAATGGAATTGCGTTTCCTGGCGTGTTTGGTGAGGAGATTTTGAGACGCATATCAAAATCGGTATATTGAGCGGCTCTGATAAATTTAGCCTGTGGTCGGTCGGCGGTCAGTGGCGCTGCTTTTCGCTCTCTCGGAATAAGCAAGGTGCGGATGAGAGAGCAGATGAAGAAACGCACATGAACGTTGACGAGGCAAACAAACGGAAACGCCCACGCGGCCACTTTGGAGGCACTTCCGCGCGCGCCGCGGAGAACGCACGCTTGGCGGACACTTGACTTGGCAGCAGCCGAAAAAACTCATTTGCATCGAGCGGCCGCTTCCTCTCGCTAGCCCCACGAATCACAAAGCCGGCCGGCCTACGATATTCCTCAATCTTCATCATCTCCAACTTCCGTCCTCTGTTTTTGATAAAATTTACACAATGTCCGAGACAAAATTGATTGAAAAGGAAAAGGGAGAGATGCAGAGGATAAATTTTCAACTTAGAGAACTATTTCTGTTTTTTTTTTTTTAAAGAGACTTGCGGTGGTCCATACACATGAAAGATCTAAAGATCCGAGATGAAATTTTGACGAAATTGATTTAAGTTTAATTAATTTGAAAATAATTGTATTTATTTATAGAGTACCCAGTACCCTCTAAAAAATTTACACAATAAATGCTAAAATATAAACGCCATAAATATTTAAAAATAAACAGATCAATTGAATTATTGCTTATTGGATTTTGTAAGAGTATTTAATATTTTCCTTAAATTGAAATGAAAAAGCCGAAAATGGGAATCTGTGTGTTAAATTTAATTCAGGATAAAAATAATACAAAGAGATACTTTTTGATACGCACTAACTACAATACAATAACTTCCAAATATAACCACCTTTTTTTTTTAAAATCTAACAGTAACTTAATTGTAAATCACACAAGTTGTGTAATGGAAATGAAATCAAATTGAAAAATCACAATTGAAAAATTGTAAGGGGATGGTCAAAACTCAGGTCATCCACAAATGTTATATTTTTCAAAAAATAAATGGAACCAGTTTGATTATTCACCTTGAATAAATCGTTTCATAGATCGTCTCCATACAAAAGGCGAACAAAACACTCTGCAAAATTTAGGCTCTGCACTCATACATTTAGTGTGCCATCATAAAATATGGGACAAAAAAAGTCGCAAAAATTCTCATATAAAAATCCATTTGATTGGCAGAGGAAAAGTTCTCCCCTGGGTCTCACCCCTATAATCCTATTATTTCGTTCATAAATTTTTTAGATTGGCCAGCTGCCAATTAACATTATTGCTTTTAAGTGAATTTTAGGCGCTTTTGGTAAATTATCAATTACGGACAAACCCAAACACCGTTTTGAGTCGTGAACTGAACTTTTATAACACGATTACAATGAAATTAATTTATTTCCTACAGATTAAGCAACTTGATGTAGTTTGTGATTAATTGCATCCTCGAACATTAACTAGAAGTTTGACGCGACCAAAGTTGCCGCAAATTAATTATGCAAGCGTGTCCAGCAGCTTACTTTGGGCTGACAGCTGATTGGCATTCGATTTCGAACGCCGAGCAAAAGCAGTTTTTTGTCGGATGGCTTTGCGTCCGGTTTGTTTACGGGGCGCCGACGGACGGACGGACGGACTCGAAGGGGTCTTTCTTTGAGAGGGGGGCGCGGGGGGGTCAGGTCGGCAGTGGGAGATTCCACGGCGCGCGCGAGGGGCCGCGGAGAACGCCGGCTGCCGCCCCTTCTGCTTTCGCAAGGACCCGGCTGGGCCCCCGAAGAGCGCAAATTTTGAGGTTTTTTGGTCTGCCGAGGAGAAGAAGAAGTTTGGACTCACTTATTGCATGATTAACAGGTGTGTAGTTGTCCTCCTGCAGCGAGCGATATGTGCGGTGGGTGAGGCACTTGAGCATTTTGCCCAGCTCGGCGCTCATTTTGGGGCCCGGGGGCGCCGGTGGGTGGCCGGGGCGCCTCCGCCCCGGGGCTCCTCCATTCGCTGCACCTCACTCGCGGGCGGCTCCAGCTCGCGGCCGCCGCTCTTTCGCTCTCTCTCTCTCTCGGCTTCGCACTCTGCCTGGCTGCTCCGCCAACAAGAGCGCCCGCCAGACCCGGCCGACGACGGAGCCCAACGCATGCGCCGCCGCCCCGCGAGCGTGGGCGCACCCCCCCGCAGCCCGACCGGAAACAAGTGACCCCGACCGCCAGAGCCCACACGACCGGCCCCACACACCTAACTGTGAGTCCCTCCTGCACGTCCTCCGCCTTGCTCTCTTTCTTGAGCCATGAATTGCACTGCCAGGATTCTACACACTTGATGTTTCATTTTTGCACATCAATTCATATTTTCCTTGTCTTAATTAATCATTCATTTCCCATACGAGACAAGACTCACCCTTCCTGATGTAAAATAATGAAATGCCTTGAGTTTTGAAAACTATTTTATATTCGTTCAATCTCTTTTTATCCACCATACGTTTTTCGTACATTTTGAGGTCTGACAATCCAAGGAAACATTTGAATTTTGTTTGTGAATACATTTTTAAATACCTCCATAATCAAGTTCATGCAACAAAATAAGCTAATTTTTTCTATTATTGGAAGCATGGAAGACAACTAGAAAATTAGAAACCATTTTTGAACAAATAACATTTTGTGTATTTTCGATATATTTTATGTTCTGTTTAATGGAAGTTATTGGAAGCATATAAACCTGATCAAATAAAATTAACAAGGGCTAGAATTGAGCCTGATCAATTTTTATAATGATTTTTTATAATTAAAAATGTTTTGCAGTGTGACAAAAGCATCACACAAAAAACTAATCAAGAGAGAATTGATTTTTTTATTCACCTGATTCGCTTCTTTTTATTATGGAGATTAATTTTCCAAATTACTTTTTTCAGCACGAGCCCTTCTAAAACAAAACAACCCCACGTTAAATCTCTGTATTGTTAGTCAATAAAATAAGGTTTAGCATGACTTCAAAATTTATATTGACCGTACGAAAATTATTTTTTTGTTTATCGGCGAATTCCTCATTAAGAAAGACAGCTTAATTTTCAATTCCTGATTCCAGTAAAATTCGGTATAATTTCTGCAGTATTAAATGATTACCGCGCCTCCCTCCTGCGACCCTCGCGCTGAATCAGCACCAAAATAGCAGGTCGGTTCATTGTGGATCGGCCGGCGCATGAATGGGGCCTGCAGCAGTGCGCCTGCGTCCCTCCTGGCTCTCAATCGTCTGCCCTGCTTGCGTCTGCCGGCCCCGCACAGGCCTTACTTCGACCTGATCGCCCACCCACCCTTCCACACACGCACAAATACCGACCTGACCACTTTTTTGCCACATTCGGCTCAGAGTGACACTAAATCACGATTGATCTCATTGATAATAAAACCCACATTCAAAAGAAGAACGCAGCGACAGTATAATAATCAATGAATATTTCTCTTCTAACACAAATAACTGAATTTAAATCAAACCAACCCCCGATTTGTTTTCTTTTTCACGGTTTATAATACTTATATTGATATTAAAAATCCGCTTTTTCCTAATTCTCAATGGAAAATTGGTAAAAACTAATAAATTGTACAAAAATTGTCAAAATGAAAATTCCAGCCTTAATTTGTCAGACCAAAACAAGTCATAAATTAAACATAGCCGCGCGTAAGAAATATTAATATATCTAAAACTGATGCCCCCAAAGCAACACTCGAGGCGCTTTGTAATTAGCCATCGTCACGACCCGACAGAACAATTAACCGCCGTTATAACTAAAAATCACCTGGCGGCTTTCTTTTTCTCATTATCACCTTTGGGTCAGACGGCGAATTCTCCACATTCCTCCATTAAAAACTTCATAGCATTTTTTTTTCAATAATTTTCAAATGCTCTGCTTCCATTTATCAGGCCAAGTAAAAGTTTCTTGCCGTTTCGCAAAACCCGTTTGATGATCAAGTCAAAAGAAACGCGTAAATGGTTATCGCAATGAGAATGGATCGCGGACGTGTGAGTCACTATTCTTGACCCCACAGCAGAAAGGAACGAGATGAAAAAGTGTGATCGAGGCTGGGAGATTAAAGTGCCGCTGGCTACTAATTCCAGCAGCAAGTGCATTCCAATCGTTTACTGCGAATCAAAAACTTGAAATTCAAACACAGACCGCACAGACAATAAATTTGCACGCATGATAATTTCTTAAAATAAAAAAAAAAATAAAATTATTTTATTGTTCAAGACGCAATAAAATTCAAGAAGCAGTTCGTATAAAATGCATATAATAATAAATGCTGAGAATGCAAATTATTTTCCTGTCAGGAAATTTGCCGTCGAGTCACGTCGATTCCCAAGAAAAATTATTCTGTCTTTCGTCGTTTCGTGACGGGGCGGAAGTCGTTTTCCTATTTCTGAGTGAGTGGGACGCGCAGGGAGGAAGGGTTGCGGTTGCACTCGAGTAAACAACGCGCACCCTCTTTTAAGGTCTTGGAAAATTTTGCCCGGCGTTTTCCTCGCCAGCACGAAAATTTGGAAAGGGAGGGCACGTTTGGAAAAACATGCAAATTTCGTGGTACGAAACTTACCGCAAAGCAGAGAATTTTAGCGAATCGGTCCTGCGGCGAGAGGAAGAAGACACGGGACCGGAGATGCGAGCGTGAAGCCAGGTTCACAGGTTCAAACGGTTATACCGGCAGGGGGCGGGGATATCGGTAACCGGTTGTTTGTGGAGCGGGGTGGCGCGACGTATTTTTATAATTTGAATCCAAAAGCACACGCAAATGACACTCAAGCTGGAATTTATAGTTCACTGCGTACTATCTTTTCCGCGTCTCAGGAACAAGTATTTTTAATATTTTTATGCATCCATATTTAATACATTTAAAAATATATGTCATATTTCTTCACCTTCTTAAATTTAGAGATACATAATATTATATAATTATCAGCAGAATATTTTTATGAACATGGTCAAAATAAAATAAGTTAATTAAACCCAAATAAAATAAGAATATTACAGGCATTCATTTTCATTAGGCTGTGGTGCATTGTATGAGATCAAAGTATAAAAATTTTTTCCACTGTTATGAACAAATTTATATATATATTTTTTTTTAAATTTTACAAGCTATGTGTATTCATAAAAGAGATATTTGCCTAATAGCTTGCTTGTTATCTTTTATATTTAATCAAATGTTTATACCAATTTTTTGAGATTGAAAAATCTTTTATATTTTTCAAAAATTTAATTATTCGGATCATTAGGACCAAAGTTACGATTTTTTGAGTTTTCGTTTGTACAGAAACTTGAACAGCGCAATGACGCCGATGTCTCTCTTGTGTGAGACGACCGCGGCTTTTTAGTCCAAAAATTTTTGAGGCGGGTCGCAGAGTTTTTATTAATTATCTCGCCTGCTAATGAAGTAAAAATTGAGAAAATTCACAACTAAGCTCAAATACATCTATTGTTTTTTTATTGTGAGAATTCAGATTCTGAAACATCTATGCAAAATTATTACAGTGTTTTTTCCACTTCAACTTTGACTGCAGCACATAGATTTCAAGTAAAAAACACAAATTAATTATGATTAGTTGCTTAAAGACTTGGCTCAAAACACATGAAGCGTTCTTGTCAATGGCATCAATAGAATAATTTAAATTTAATTCAACCTTCTTAAAAATGTGATGTTCATACTAAACTGCCGAGCGCAAATACTTTGCTCCCACTGGTCCGAATCGCATAATTCTAACGATGGTTGATTCAAAATTTTAAGCTCCAGAGCAAGAAGGTATTGTTAAAGCTCTAAGTGCCCTAGGTCACCCGCTGCCCTCTTGACCTCTGGTTTTTAATTTCAAATTAACTTTCATCAAAATTTGACAATTTTAATGCTGATTTCAACGAACCTAATATTGGCCGTGTCAAAAATTTTGCACCCACATAATTATATTTTGTAAAATTAGTAAATAATTTAGGAGAATAAGTTAGGAGCGCATTCTCATGCTATTTGTATATACGCTTTGTGAGATTTTCAACATTTTTAAGTCTCCTTGGATCACCTGTTTTTTGTGTTCTCTATTGTTATTGACGATTGCCTATACCTGGAAGCTTATCATGATTTTTTACGGTTGTGTGAAAGTGGGCGTAACTCTCGATTTACGAATAAATTTTTTTCGATCGCGGAAAAAACTTTTTACGGTCACGGAAAAACATTTTTACGGTCGAGCTAGCTTTTTTTCTGGCCACTAGATGGCGTTGTTCGTTTTACCGGCAGTGAACACACTTTACATGAGGCGAAAAACTTTTTCTCGGTCAGGTTAAAATTTAACATTGATCAAATGGAAGTGATTTTTACGGCTGCTCCTAGCAGCCGAAAATTTTGAACCGTAAAAATCTGATCATTGCCAATAGCTTGGATGTTTGAAGTGAGGTTTCTATAATAAATTAACAGATAGATCATTTTCGTTGTGCTAATTTTATGTGAATGATTTACTGTAGGGCAAATTGTGTATCTCCCAATTAATTAAAAATTAAGGGAAAGGTATTTATAGTGCAATTTAATGTGACAAACCATGACCTATGCTCCAAACCAGTCGCAATAATTTCTTTTAATCCGCGGCCGGGCCGATGATTTCAGGAGAATAGCATATGAAATTGATATAAATTTAATATTCCATCAAATTATTATCAAAGCGATTGGGCAAAATAAAGAAAACATCAATTTTTTACCGTTTTTATTCCACTTCCATGATCAAAACAAACCCACGCCACACACGCCCCCCAGCGCCACCGTAAAAACTGTTTCACAAGTGAAAAAGATTTACGCGCAAGTGAAAAAGTTTTCCCGAACGGAAATTTTTAGCTCCGCCCTCCGAAAATATTTTTCCTGACCGAAAATTTTAGCTCCACCCAACGGAAAAAGTTTTTTCGTAACCGAAAATTCTCGCGACCGTAAAAAAATCATGATAAGCTTCCTGACATGCTTCCCTCTCTTCTTCCACCCCCACAAAAATCTCCAAAGCAGCCAGCAGGCAGCAGCGACCAATCTGTTTAGTGAGGCCGCGGCCATCCTCTGATAAACAAGTATGATTCTCGCCACTCGTCTTGTGTCGCGGTCGATCGTGACAAAAATATTTTAATAATTAAAAAAGTGAGTGTAAATATAAGGAATTTATAATAATTATAACGTGTTTAAATTTTCCAAAATTTATTTGAAATAAATATGAGAATAAAATATATATAATTTTTATTCTCTCTTAATGATTTTAATTTTAACAAATAATTATTGATAAAAGCTGATAAAATTAGTTAAAATTGGAAAATAAATATAGTTGAGATTTATGAATTTTTTTTACAATTTTAGCTTCTTGAACTTATGCGTGTTATCATCGCGGATCGCGAGTTGCCCCAACCACGATGCACCGGGCACCCATTAATAAATAATTATTTTAATATTTTTAGCTTCTTTATATTGATAAAAGTTTGGGAATAAAGATTTTCGCTTCAACTATGCAATTTAACGACCGCGCAGAGTGCAGAGCTATAGGATTAATTGGATTAAAAAATGATTTCAGATTAAGATTGCATTATGCTTTCCGCAATTGCAATGGGCTTTTTTTCATGTTTGAATTTTGAAAAATTTAAATTACTAAATACTAAATTATGAGAATAATTAATCGTAATTAATAATGCACTTGAAAAGAATAATGCAGTCGCAAAAAGGCCAAAATGGGGCAATTGCTCCTTTTAAAAGGTCGATAAATAAATAATTTGACAATAAATCATCTATTGATATATTGAATGATATAATATGATATTAATGATATACGCGATCGAGCGATCTCATCCTTGCAGCCAGCGGACAGCGGACTCTACTGCCTGCGGCCTGCGGTAATTTTGTTAAAAAAAAAAACAATTGACGATCGGCCGATAACCGGTTGTTGTTACGATCTCTGAACCTGGCTTCCCGGGCCTCCGGAGATGATACGTCAACAAGCACAGCTGCTGTTGCTGCATCCCATTTCGGCATGAGAAGTGAACGAGAGGGGCGAGGCCGGTCTCTGCGCCAAAGATCAACAAGTGCAATTCGTACACGTAGCGCCATCAGGTGCATCCGAGCAAACTACGGTAATTAAAATTCAATAATATCAGTGAACTGCAATCAACAGTCAAGAAAATGCCTTTAATTGAATTCCAAATGAAATAACTCTTCCATTTAGTTTTATGTAATTTTCAAATTTATTTATTTTTATATTTCTTTAGAACATCCTGATGTTAATCAAGTGATCAAAGTTTATTACTGTTATCAATAGTAGTTTTTAGTTTAAGTAGGCAACATCCAATCGAGTTACGTGTCATTTTTACCGACATAATGTCTGGTGCACGTTTAAGGATTATAAAATACAATGTTGCAGCGCTATTTACAATTTCGGTGCAAAAATACTTAAACCCAGTCTGGTTCATCTCGAGCTATTTACAATCTTAGCAATAGTAGTTCAATGGTGGGGGCAAGTTACAAAATAAAATTGACACAAAATAGAACAGTCACAGAAGCGCGACTTACATAATATAATTGCCACGGCTCTGGTCATGTTTTACAAAATGCATGGTAGTATTATAAATACAATAAAACAATTGATTACAGGGGGGGGTCAAAATATTATGTACATAAAAAAATGAATTGTAATGCAGCTCATAACATTTGCTTACTTTTCATGAAGTCAAAGAAAAAGTTAACATTAAAGAGCATCACTTAGAAAAAGCAACAAGGATATCAGCATTCACTGAATGAGTGACTTGATCATTTCCAGTTTGCCTTCGACAAACTGGCTTATCTCAGCCTGGCTTTTGGTAGAATACTTCTTGCGCACAGCCTGAAAAAAAAAAAAAATAAATAAAATCTTATTCAAAATTTGGCTGAAGAGGATCTCACCGTAAGGGAAGAAGTGTGACCCTTGACTACGACAGCTGCCACCAACTTGACGGCCGCCTCAACCTCAGCGAAACTGTATGCCGAGAAGAAATGGAGGGTGGGGGTCCACATTTGGGCAAGGGTGGGTTGTTCCTCCTCCGAGTTGAGCAGGAGGGAGAGGCAGAGGGCGGCAGCCGCCTGCAGGGAGGGTGCCACATGGCACAACTCGTGCCGCACCAACAGCAGCTCCATGAAATACTTGGCCGTGCAGTGGTCCTCGTAGGTGGCGTCAGAGGTTTTGGTGAAGCGCCGCAGGAAGTGCAGAGGCAGCGGCCGGCCGATGTTGAAGTTGAGAGCGGACAGGATCTTCATTTCCATGTCAGCCACCTGCTTTTTGTTGTAAGTGTTGTCAGTCACGTAGACGCAGTCACCAATGGTCGGGCACATGATCTCCTCGTACTTGGCAGCGAGCAGCAGGCAGGTCACTCCAACAAGTTGCAGCTGTGACTTTGGAGTTGCCAGTGCAGTCTATCGGAAAAAATTATTAGTTGATATTTTCTAATAATAAATAAGAGACTTGAACGCACCGGCATGTAGCGGTCAAAAATGGCAACAGTCAGGTATAGGGTCTCAGGGGTGAGTTTGAACTGGCGGTGCACACCAACAATCCAGTCAATCAACACAGCTCGCATGTGGAACGTCATTTGTTTGCACTGCTTTATGTAGCCCATGGGGACACTGTAGGTAACCTGATCAAAATAAAATACATAATTATGGTCTAATTATAATTCATTTTTTTTTTTTTATAACAAACCTCAAGTTCTCTCAAGTATGAGTAGATGTCCCCCACATAATCAGCCGCATTCTGGGCATTGTCTCTGTCCCTTGTGTCCAGCTTTTCCAGTTGTTTGATTTGCTCGTTCGAGAAGCCACTGAAGTCAGGCTTGTTCTTCGTACTTTCCACTTTAGGGGCCTCCTCTTTAGGCTTAACCTGCAGAATGCTAGGCTTGACCCTGACCACAGGCTTGGGAGCAGCCAAAGACACCTTGGGTTTGGTCTGAGGGACGGCCTGGTTGGTCATGATGTTAGTGACGCGGCGCAGGATGCCTGGTTTAGCTGCGGCTGGTTTTTCCCTCACACTCAGACCAGCGGGTTTCTGCTCAGCGACTGGTTTTGACGTGGCCTTGCTAGCCAGGGTCAGCCTGGTTTAGAAGTTTCAATTTTAGAAAATTAGAAAAAACTATGATTACTAAAATAATACTTTGGCTTAGCCAGTGGGGCATTTTCCTTGAGATTGGCGTTTGGTTTGTTCAGGGTAAGGCCTCCTCCCTTGCCGATGGTAACCATTTGGACGGTGGCCTTGTTGCTGATCTCGCCCAGGGTGCTGCGCACATGTTGCAAAGGTGCAACTTTGCGGGTGACGGCGTCCTTCGCCAAGACATTTTCCTTCAGCAAACCCGACGACTGTAACAGAACGGGAATGTGAGCAAGAATTCTTCGCACTTTTCAAACAAGTTTGAACATGCAAAGAATTCGTGAAATGGCCGTTGGAAGAATGGTCAGAATGGAGTTCTACCGAAGGGAATTCCGGTTTCCGGTGCATAAATCGCAGCCGGCATTGTCGGCCGACGAGTCAAATACGAAAAAATTAGAAAATCAACTAAATTTAATTCATGAATTTGAAAATACTCACTTGGAAGTTGCGGCGAGTGACGCGAACAGGCCTTGCGTTTTCTGCCATTCTTTTTGGCTGTTTTTTCGACAAGAAACGACAAAAAAAGTGAGCTGCTAGCTGTAATATTGCCGCAGATATCGACAACTAGTCCGATTTTCCACGAAAAATGGCTTTTTTCCAGTAATTTTCGAAGATTCTTGCGACTTTCTTTTAGCACGACGTTCGTTCCAACGGTTTCTCTCCTTCAACAATGCAACTTGCCGCACTAATGAACTAATCCGCGGGCCAATCACAGCTCTCTAAAATGATCACGTGACCAACGGTTGCGGGCATTTAAATCGAGTCAAGTGACCTACGAATATTTTTAAGTTTGGTTTTTCTGAGCTTAATAGAACAACATTATTTACTAATACGCGTAATAAAATCATAAGTAGTTTTTCATTAATTTTAATCAAAATTTAAGTTATTAAAATTTTAAACGTTAAAAAATAATACTTTATAATGACTTCAGCTGCTGTGTTTTTCTTTTTAGCCCATTGGTGGCGCCAACAACAACGTACAAATACAAATAATAAGACTTTTCTTATTATTGGAGTTTTACGAAGTTTTATTATATAGGTGGTAAATTTTTCAAATTTTAAAAGATTGTAAAATATATCCACAATTAATTTGGTTTTTCTTATTTATATGATTTTCAAATTAGATTAAAAATTTATGTACATTTAAAAAAAATGGTAACTAACCAAACTAATGACCCGTTACCACAATTCATGTTATTGAGATTGAAAGCGCTATGAAGGGTGCATGGAATTAAAATTTTAATTTTTATTAAGCTCCTGTTCTCAATTTTCATTTACAAAGTTAAATGAAAAAATTAATACAAATTTTAAAAGTGTATAAAAGGTAAAAAAATTCATTAATTAAATGCCACTGTACATCATGATAAACAAGAGTTTTATTTTTAATATTATTCGGTAATTCTTTCACTACACAATAGAAACAAGTAAAGAAGCTAGGAAATTGAAAATCACATGAAGACTTAGAGAATGCAAGTTAAGTGAAGTAAAAAGTCAGGTTAGTTCACTTTTCAATCATCTACTAGAAAGGAATGCAGCAAGCGACGAGTTTCCCAAAATACATATATTGGTAAATTTTTAACTTTTTCCATAGAACTTCTTGTTCAGCAGGAAGAGCAGCAGGTTAACATTGACCTTTGCTTTTCCAAACATATCCATGATCGCCTTGCCCTCGTACTGAAGCTGCAGCAACTCCTACCAAAAAATAAAAAACAAACATTATTTGAAATTTGAGAATATTTTTCCGAAGGATACCTGAATGTCGATTTCTGCACTGTCCATGGGTATGCCCATGAAACATCCTTTGACGAGGAAAACTCCCACAGACTCGGAGGGTGAGATTTCAAATTGGACGCTCTTGAATTGGTTAGACGGCAGACCCTGCATTTGGTGCAGCACTCCTTTTGCGTGCAGCTGGGCTGCAGTGTACTTAAGTACCTTCTGCGTCTTGGCCTTGCCTGGGTGCTGCCCTGAGAGGCGCAGAGTGTGGACCCTTCTAATAAATTAGAGAGCAAGAATTATAAAATAACATGTTGAAAAATGAAAACTAACTTCTTTCCACTGTCCAGGCTTGCCAGGCAAGTTTCAATGTACTTGTTGTAAAATTCGACTTGTTTTTGGTACCACTGATTTTTCTGCTCCAAACTGCTGATGGTGTTTTTTAAAAGGACCATTTCCTGCAAATATTTGAATTGATGATTTTCTACATGATCATGAATCACTCCTTACGTTGCGCCTAGCCTGGCAATATTGGCCTCTGTTGATAATGTCTTTGGCCACGGAGGAAAGAAGTTGCTGGTAGTCGTTTTCAGAGGACACCAGCCCCTGTTGTTCCAATTTGCCAAGCCAGAGTTGAAGGCGCCTCTTACTCAGATGCAAACTGCAAACGCACTTTTATTTAGTGCTCATTGAAAATAACATAAACATACTTTGAATTGTTTCCTGACTGCTGTGAGTGGATAGAATTCTGCTGCTTGAGAAATTGTTCATTTTGGCCCGGCAGCTCCTGTGCATCCAGAGCTTCCGTCAAAGATGAACCTTTGAGGAACGGAAGCAACGCCACAAGCAGTTCTTTTGCCCTGAAATAAATTTTTTTAACGCTTTTTCCACATATAAAAAATTATTTACATAATGAACATTTGACTTTGATTTGGCTCTTGCTTTCCATTTGACATCTGCTCTGTGAGCACCTCAAGTTTACTGTTGGACAGCGTCAAGGTTATGTCTCCCTTCGGAAGCAAGGAGTCAGTGGAGCTCCCTGAATTATGAGTAATTTAAAATTCAATTGTTTTTTGTACACAAGAGTAAAATACCTCCTAGCAACTTGCGTACAGAAGTCAAAGGACCCAGGCCTTCAAGGATAGAATGCAACGGATCAGATTGTTTAGGCGCAATGTCATCCTCATACTGCAAAACTAACTGATGCGTGTCCCAGAGTTCCTAATTCAAAATTTATTTTGCAAGTAAATGCGTATTTTCTACCAAAAAAATTCTAGACCGACCTGCAGCGATATTAAAATGGTAGGCTTGACAATCATGGTGGCCTCCGAGTAGGCATGAACTCCAAAGTGTTCTTCAAGGTCTTCTACTTGGCAGCAGCGAGTGAGGAATTTTTTGAACTTTTCGTGACACTGTATGATGAAAGGGTTGAGAACTTTCAAGTGCGACGACTCTTCACCAAACTGAAAGTGCATAAAAATTTAACAAACTTAACTTTAGCCTGATTAAATAGATACCCCTTTCTTGGAAGCTGCATACTGAAGGATTTTGGCAATGCTAGCTAAATTGTTCCTCTGATCTGCAGTGAGGGTTTTGTCTGCAGGCAGGGTGACAACATCGTAGGCATCAGGGGCCACAATGGCAGCATTAATGAAATGGTAATAAACAACGTGTCCAATAACCTGCAGTTTTAAGTTGAAAAATTGGATGCTAGTTTTAAACATTGCAAGTCTGTACCTTCAAAAGATCTTTTTCGGGAAAACCTGGGAACCTTTGAGCAAGGGCGTTGTGTAGAGTGCGAGCCGTGTGCAACAAACTGTAAGGAAGCTGCTCGCGCTCCTCACAAATTCGCTCAAGAAAGAGACGCACTGTTTCCTGCAGACTTTGAATGCCTTTTTGAAGGCGCTTTTGTACTTCTTCGTGTGCCAATGCTTCGGCAACAGTCACGTTTCGAGGCAGATCACTAATTACGACAAAATAAATAAAAGACAAATTTCACTGCTTCAGTTTTATTTACCTGGCTGCGCCTGTGGTCATTTCCATTTTGTTGATCCAGCTGTTGTAAATCTCAATAGGATTTGTTTCAAAAACTGTGCTTTTGTCGTTGACCACTCTTTGAATGAGAGGACCCAAAATTTCACGCAGCGCATTTTGCCCAGAGTGCTGACGAGAAAAGTTGACGGCGATTTTCAAGACTTGAGGGTATACTTTGAGAATGTCCACAGGCTCCTTGAATTTACATCTAGTTTGAAACAATTTACTTGAGAACTTAATTTGGAAATTAATTTTATTTATCATACTTGATTTCCTCCTCAAGTGCCGTTTTCAGAAGATTCAACAACATGTACTCATCCCTCTTACTGGAGCCAAAGTTGAAAAGGGAGAAAATTACGTCTTGAAGGAAATGCATGGACTTGCTCTGCGGCAAGCAAAATAACAACTTGGACAAATATCGAGGCTGCGTTTGCAGCAGGTAGAAAAGGTTTTGGTATCCTTCAAGCAGGTGCCTGCCCTCCTTGGTCAGGGACTTGAGTCCTTTGCCTCCCAAAAAGCTGCACCCCACTGACGGCTGATCCGACATTGAGGACTTTGGGCCTCGTGCAAGATCGGACATTTGGGAATGGTGGGCTTGCACATCCTAGCATAAATTAAAAAAAAAATAACATAGGGGTACAGTTAAGGAAATAGATTACTCACATGTAGGGAAATTCTGTTTTGCACAAGCAGACCAATTTTCACATCCATGTCCTCCAGTTGCTGGGATAAAGTTTGATTGTGGCGAATCGACTTTGCTATTTTTGCCTTCAGCAGCTGTTACAAAAAAGTAAGCAACCAAAGAGTATCTGAATATTAAATATTTACTTGAATTTCATTCTCCTTGTGGAATTCACTGTTGTTTGGAGCAAGAATTGTTGCAAACTGGCGCACAATGTTGAGAGAGGGGTTTGGCTGGTGCACCAACTGGAGGAACATCTTTCTCGTCTGGTGACCCCTCCATAAAGCTTGCAGGCGCACAATCTTTTGAACCTGAAAATCTCATGTAATACTTATAAAAAAAATCCAAGGGAGATTTACGTGTTTCTTGTAATAGTCAAGATTTTGTTTCTGTAGCCTGCTTGCCCTTTTAGCAGCAATCCTGGCCTCCAGCTGCTTGCGTCCCAACACAGCACGCCACCAGCGCTGTGAAATTAACACAAAGTAAAAAATTTGCTTTTTAAATCTTAATGAACGTACTTGGATCAAAACTATCTGGTTCAGAAGGTGTGCATCCATTGCATCCGGACTGGTGGACTTTTCAGAGTCATAGTCTGATGGTGCAGAAAGCTCGGTGTTCAGCATATCCACTAGTTTCTATGAAAGAAATCAATACAAGATATTTCAACAGAACTCTATTCTGAACCTCAATTTCTTTCAGGGATAAGTAAGGGGAATTTTCCAAGGTCTCTGGAGGATTCCACTCAAAGCTTTTTGTTTTCAAATTTATGTAAGCCTTGTGGTTCTTCTTTGTTATGTAAATTAAACACGGACTGGTGTACTTCTTGGCCACCTACAAATTAAATTGTAATTCCCACTTTCTGTGTTTGTTCATTATTACTTTCTGCTTGTAGCAATCAATGAAGAGCCTCATATAGTCCCTGAAATACTCTGGGCAGATTTTTGGTTTTTGGTGAAGTGGTGCACCTTCCAGTGCTTTGACCAATGTCTTTTCATCGTGCTCCTTTAGCGCCAGATGGATTTTGATCAGAGAGGAACATGCTATACACAAATAAGTTATATTTTCTAAATTTATTCACATTGTAAGAACTATAAACTTACCCTGCTCAGCCTCTCGTGACTCTGCGTCAGCCATTCGAATTGCCTCCTCTGCGTCGGAAAGCCACAGTTCAGATGATTCTCTGTCTTCCTCTTCTCGGATGGCCTGCAAAATCCGCAGGTACAGCCTAGAGTTCTTCTCCTCCACAGGAAGGACTATCTGAGAACTCAGGATTTCAAGTGCACCGAAAACCTCTCGTTGGTTGTCCTTAAGCACAGCTCGGTTCAATTTTTGCAATGCGCCCACCACTGGCAAAATTTGTAAGTTAGAATAATTTAAAAACAAAATTTTGACTTACTTTGATTTTGCATGTCAATCTTTTGGTGTACTTGGGTCACACAGTCGTCGATGTCAAAATACGTCAGCATAGGGCATCTGCTTTTCTCCAACAACTTCTTTTGTCTCATTTCGTAAAACGTTTTCCAATAGTCATCGATAAAATATTCATCCAGCTTAAAAATTGTAAAAAGATTTAAACAAATTTCAATAACTAGCACGGTGTAGCTTACATCAAAAATATCACCAAGGTTTTTTAGAGCTCTCCACATTTCCTTGGTGTTGTTCTTGTCAACTGCTAGTGTGACGCAGGCAATTTTAGTCAGTAAATCAATGCAGCCTTGGATTTCCTTGATTGTCAAGTCACGCTATAATATAATAATGAATAATTTGCATGGGTGCTAAATATTTAGATTATAATTTACCTCTAGGTCGCTTCTATCATTTTTCATTTCAAAATGATAAAGAGGAGCAGCTTCGGGAATGACATTGTCCAGAGAAAGAGCTGGATTTTGCAGAGCCTTTAGAGTTTCTACTGGAGTGCCACTTCGCAGAGCTTTGTTCACATTCCACATGGCTTCCAAACCTAAAAATTAAATGTGTATATCTTTCAAGTTTTCAACTTGAATATCTGGTTCTTACGAAGAGCTGATTGCAAAGCAATGTTGTTTCCAGCTGTGATCACATTTTGCAGGATTTGTCGGCAGCGAAGAGAGTCAGGCGGTGTTTCCTGGAGATCATTGTTCTCTACCATGCCGCGAAGGTCCTTCATGTAGTGACCAATGCATTTATCATCCACAGCCTAAAAACAAGATTTTTTCTGATTTAAATTCTAGTTAAAAAAAAAAAACTCGGACCTTCAGTGCTAACGGAACAGCCCGCAAAGCTGACTTCAGTGCGCCTTCGTCTCCATCCTCAACAGCTTTCAACACAGCATTCCATGCAACAGCAACTAAATTTGTTTAAATAAAACTTAAAAATTATTTGTTTGTTAAATAGTTACTATTGACAGAATTAATGTATCCCTGGATCTCAGCTTGCGTCAGCAGCTCATCATATACATCAGCAGTGTAACTATCACTCAATGACTGAAAATTTTCAGATTTTTAGGAGATTTGAATGGCTGCAATTAACATTACCTTGTTCTGTGCTACTGCCGTTTTGTCCTTTTTAGCCTGAACCATAACTGCTTTGTATTTGCCCATATGGTCATCAACTACCCATTTGAGCTTGGCAACAGAAGCTTTCAAAGCATGGAGGAAATTATCACCTTCCTAAAATTAATTTATTATCTGTAAAAACTGAAATTCATTTTAGAAAAAGCAAACTTTTTTATCTAGAGTCTCGTTGATGGCAATGATGGCCGAGTGCAAGGCAGCCTTATCAACGGGCATTTCATTGGCAAGCAATCCTCCAATCTTTTGGAAAAGCGGCATCTGAACTCCAACCTTAACCAACTCCTTCTTCATAACATCAATTTCAGCATCTGTAAAATAATATATTGAAAGAAAATCAAAATAAATATAGTTAAAAATACCAGTGAAATATGCTTTTCCATAGAGGTCGCCCATGGCTGGTGTTTTGCCAAGTCGGAAAAGGTGCGTTGACAAGGCGTGAATGCAGTAAATCACCCTAGGCATGTTCTTTTTGTCGTAAACGTCAGTCGTCTCTGGGAAAAACGTCTGAAAACAGATTGATTATGTAAATGAGATTGAAAAATGTAATTTTGGGGAAGTTTGATACAAACCCTGGGCAGCTTGACGGCATCTAGGGAAGCAATCCATTTGTTGATGTTGTCAGTGTGACGAAACTGGAGGCCAAATCTGTCATATCTCGACTGGTCAATGTCGTAGATTTTGCTCAGCGAAACCACCTCCGGGGCAATCAGGTGTCCCAGCCTGGCAAGCACCACTCCGTTGCGCAGGTTTTCCTCTAATTCTGTCAAAGGTGGAAGACTGATCTGCAGTATGGACTCCAGCCACCTTTAATGTGCTTTAGTATTGAGTAATTAAGTACATAGAAAATATTACTTTTTAGACTCCTCGAGGTGGCAAAGGTACTGGTAGGCCATGTCCTGCAGACGCATCTCGTCCATGTTTTCATATTTGTCAATGTTGGGACGCACGATGCCTGAAAAATATTTAGCTTTGCTGTTAAACATGATCCTGCACACCTTCACGTGGCCAATGAAACTCATTTTGTCGGAAAATCGGGAAAAAACGTCCTGAATCTTTGCACATTGGAAAGTGAGCAACACTGTGTGCTGAGGGATTTTTATAGGCACTGCCTGCAAAAATTTAGGCAATTCACGGCTTTGAATTTTTCATCAATTGTAGAAAAATACTTAAGATTCCCACCAATGATTCAGTGACCTTTGTGTGCATTTCAATGTGTACCAAAATATTCCGACAAGCTAAATAAAATTATTGCAAGATTCAGATCTTACCGGGAGCATCGGCTTTTGCGTCTGTCTCGATGACACCAGGCATGTTCGACGGTGCTTTTCACGTCTACACCTCGGCGAAATGCTGCAAATGCATAAAATGCGCCCAAAACTCTGCGAATCTGTCAGAAGTCGTGATTAATTTGGAGAATTTCTGGCACGCCAGATTTTTGTGACACCCGTTGCCCGCCGTTTTGCTGTTTTCAACGATTTTAAACGCAAGGATTTAAACGGCTTTGCTCAGCAAACTTGATGCACAGTTACCAACTTAATAATATATTTCTGAAGCATATGTTTAGCTCCTTTTGTTATATAAACAGTTTATTTCAACAAAATATTTCAATAAAAGTTAAATTATATTCAAAAAATTATTTTAAAACAATTTACTTGCATATGAAGGCAGTATTATAATGATTCAAAATGGATTTTCGTACTGTTGGTGCACTTGATGGCAGCTGTTGTTTTTGTTTAGAAATCTCTCGAACACGGCTTATAACTACAAACTTTGGCATAATTTTTGTAATTTTTCACGGGTTTTATGGCCTTGTTATTGATATGGAAGCAGTGCCGGACTGGCTCTAAAAATTTTACCGGGCGTTTTTAAAATAGGCGGCCCACGCCAACTAAACGGCCCAATTTTGCGCGCCGGCTTCGCCGGCGACGGCCCTCTAACGGGCCCCCGGCCCGCCGGCTACGCCGGCGGCCCACTTTTGGCCCCGAGCGCGCCGGCTTCGCCGGCAAATATTATGAAACCATTGCCACCGCTATTTTTAAACAAATTTAAATTTTTTTTAAGCACGGAAAAAATAGTAATCATTTGAAAATTGAAATATATATAATTTAATATTTTAGTAAAACTGAAAACACAATTTGCGAGCGAAGCAAGCGGAATAAATATTAGGTACTGAATTAAGAATTAATAAATCTTCATATTTCTAGATTCAGCGATAATTTTACATCATGCCAGGGGGTAAAAATAAGCTTTTGCAGAAAGTAGCCAGATATATGATCTGAAAGTTTCGTTTAGGACTTTTAGATAGTCGCGGAAAACAATGAATTTTTTGTTCGGGGCCAAGTTCAACCACAGGGGTGGGGATGTAAAAATTAGCGTTCGGAAAAAGTAGCTAGAAATGATCAGATTGATCTGTTTGGGATTTTTAGATGGTCGCTGAAAAACGTGAAAATTTTTTGTTCGGCGCCTTCGGCGGCCAAGTTCCACTATAGGTGAGGGTGTAAAAATTTGCGTTCACAAAAATTAGCCAGAAATGATCAGAATGATCTGTTCGGGATTTTTAGATGGTCGCCGAAAAACGTGAAAATTTTTTGTTCGGCGCCTTCGGCGGCCAAGTTCCACTATAGGTGAGGGTGTAAAAATTTGCGTTCACAAAAATTAGCCAGAAATGATCAGAATGATCTGTTCGGGATTTTTAGATGGTCGCCGAAAAACGTGAAAATTTTTTGTTCGGCGCCTTCGGCGGCCAAGTTCCACTATAGGTGAGGGTGTAAAAATTTGCGTTCACAAAAATTAGCCAGAAATGATCAGAATGATCTGTTCGGGATTTTTAGATGGTCGCTGAAAAACGTGAAAATTTTTTGTTCGGCGCCTTCGGCGGCCAACTAGGGGTGAGGGTGTAAAAATTTGCGTTCACAAAAATTAGCCAGAAATGATCAGAATGATCTGTTCGGGATTTTTAGATGGTCGCTGAAAAACGTGAAAATTTTTTGTTCGGCGCCTTCGGCGGCCAACTAGGGGTGAGGGTGTAAAAATTTGCGTTCACAAAAATTAGCCAGAAATGATCAGAATGATCTGTTCGGGATTTTTAGATGGTCGCCGAAAAACGTGAAAATTTTTTGTTCGGCGCCTTCGGCGGCCAAGTTCCACTATAGGTGAGGGTGTAAAAATTTGCGTTCACAAAAATTAGCCAGAAATGATCAGAATGATCTGTTCGGGATTTTTAGATGGTCGCTAAAAAACGTGAAAATTTTTTGTTCAGAGGCCAAGTTCAACCAGGGGTGAGGGTGTAGAAATTAGCGCTCACAAAAAATTAGCCAGAATTAATCTGGCGTCCCCCTCTTTTTAAAGTTAGTTCGTACCTTGGTCCCTAGAGAGCGCTCAAAATCAAGCTAAGAACCAATCAGAGTGCGTACATAATCGTCAAAAGACCCAAGGCATAAAATCACTTGCTTCGCTCGCGCAAAATCAAATTTTTTTTCATTTTCACGGGCTGACGGCCCCGTAATAACCCATTTGCTTTTACTGAGGGCCCTACAGGGCCGCGGGGCCGGTCTGCCAGCCGCCCAGCCGGCCCGACACGAGCGGCGCACGTTGTAAGCGCGGAAAGCGCGCGGCCCGCTTCGCGGCCCGTGCGCTTTTGCCGCAGCCCGAAGGCCGCTTCGCGGCCTTTTTGGCGGCCCACGGGGGCCGCGGCCCACCGGGCTTTAGCCCGGTGCGCCCGATTACCCAGTCCGGGCCTGTATGGAAGTCAAAACTTATTAAATAAATATAACAGATCATCTATTTAGCTGAAATTCAGCAGGTAAAAAACAAATTTTTTTATGAAAATTAAACATACATAATTTCTTATTACATATTTGATAGCATTATTTAATTATTTTATGGAAATAACATTTTTGTTTTTTTATTTTGTAGGATTAAAAATGAGTAAGAAAGTTGAGCCTGCAGAGATGATTTCAACGGTGACAGAAGGGCCGGTGGAACTGGAGAACCAGTTCATCCTTCGGCTGCCTGCAGAGCCGGCCAAGGCCCTGCGGGAGGCGGTTCGAAGCGGCAGCAACAATCTGAAGGAGCGTCTGACCGTCAAGCTGGAGCCGGACATGCGGCACGGCGAGGTGCGATTCGACCACTGGTTGCTGCACGCTCGTCTTATGGACCTGCCCACCATCATGGAGTCGTTGAAGACCATAGACAACAAGAACTTCTACAAAACGGCCGACATCTGCCAGCTGCTGGTGTGCAGCACCGAGGAAGAACCGCCGCCCCCTCCTGAGGAAGAGGCGCCCAAGAAGAAAAAGGACCCCAACAAGGTGGACAAAAAGTACCTGTGGCCGCACGGAGTGACGCCGCCCATGAAGAACGTCCGGAAACGCAGATTCCGGAAAACCCTGAAGAAAAAGTACGTCGAGGCGCCTGAAATAGAGAAGGAGGTGAAGCGGCTGCTGCGAGTGGATAACGAGGCCGTCAACGTCAAGTGGGAGATCATCAGTGAGGACCAGTTGCTGGGCCCTCCAGAACCAGGGGTTGAGGTCGAGGACACGCCCCCCAAAGAGAAGGAAGGCAAGCGGAGCAAAAAGAGCCACAAGGAGGCCAACCTGGCCGAGCATGACATCTTCGGTGAGGCCGTGTCTGACTCAGACGCGGACGACGACTCCAACTCTGACGAGGATGACACCAAGGGCATTGACGTGCTCAACCTGGATGACGAGGAGAGCAGCCGGCTGATGATGTCTGCTGGGGAGGACAGTCTGGCGCCCAGTCAGGACACGGGTGGCGCCTCCACCTCCACTGGACTGGTCACGCAGTTCTCCAAGGAGATGTTCAGCAAGCCGGACAGCATGTCCCCCTCCTCGTCGCCTGTTCCACTAGACGCCAAGGAGGGTCGCGGGGCGCGCGACCTCGAGTTGAGGGCGGCGCGTCTGCGTAAGGACCTCGAGGAACTGCACGCGATGCGCGAGCAGCGCCAGCAGCAGCAAGAAATGGCCGGTGACAATGAAAACGTTGCCCTCAGGCAGAGGTTCAGCGAAATCTTTGACGAGCAGATTGCGGCCAAGGAGCGCGAGCTGCAGCAGGTGTTGGACAGTATGTGAGGACAGAGTCTTTTCTTTGGACCAAGAAAAACAAACATCTTTTGTAAAGTTTGTCTGTGAATAATTTAGATGCTATAATATTTCTGATTGTTCAGTAAATCATATAATTTTTTTAATTCAAATCAAACATAAAGATTGTTGATTTCAATAGCATTAAAATATCAATTTATAATTACAAAAGATACAAAAAAGATTGAATTTATGGATCGCTTGAATCTTAAATATTTAAAATTTAAAGAAATAAATAAACTCGAATGGGAAATTTAGCTGAACTTTTTTAATTAAGCATTTATTTTAATAGATAGATAGAGTATTTATTGAACACAACCAGGTGTACAACGGGTGTCTAAAGCTAATTTGTCTTCCTAAAATTAATTTTACAATTAAGCTTGTTTCGATAATTATTACAAAGTACAAAATTTGTTAATTTTGATTTTTGCAGCCTCTCTTAGGCTTAGTTTACGTTCATTACATTCAAGAATATGATATTGTGAACATTTCTTACCGCAGTGCTTGCATTCACAATCTATTGTCGCTTGAGAATGAAAATTTTTATTCTTACAAAATAAATAGTGGTACCCGTGACAGGCAAATCTCGTAAACACTTGGCGATCACTGAACATTGCACATTGCCAATTTTTATTCTTCATAGTTTCTGTCTCGTAGAACTCATCACATATCTCAAGTTTGTTTAAATATTTAGACACACAAAATTTCTGGAATGCTTCAGTTTCAGTTAGAGAATATTTTACCTGTAAGTCCGATACAAAGAGATCAGTGTCAACTAATTCATACACAAATCTAGATCTAATATACTTGGACAGTCCTAAAACTCTTTTTAAATATCTTGTTTTGACTTTTTCAAGATTTTCAAAATCAGTCTTTGTTAGGAAAGGCCATATTTCTTCAATGCCGTAGGACGCAATTGGGGAAATTTTTAGATCAAATAGCTTGTGTGCTGTTTCAATGGATAATTGTTTTAGTTCTCGTATATTATAAGTGGCCAGCAATGCAGCTCTTGTTCTTTTTTCAATGTGCTTTCCAAAAGAGATTCCTGATGGTTGATAAGTAACTCCTAAATATGTAAACTCAGCAACTCTCTCTATTTCAATTCCACCTAAATCTAGGCGGTCACTTAATGCATATTTTCCTAGACCCTTATTTCTAAATTTCATGAATTTGCACTTTTCCAAGTTAAGTTTCAAACTGCGTTTTAACAAAAATTCTTTCATTCTGGCTAAAGCAATTTTCAAGTCACTTAATTTTTCTGAGGTTAAAACAATATCATCTGCATAATAAATGGCTTTCACGTTTGGCAAATCTCGTAGAATATTATTTATATCAGCTAAAGAGTAATTGAACAGAAATGGGGACGTGCATCCCCCCTGTCTTACCCCATTTGATTGTGTAATAAGTTTTGATACTGTTACTCCATCTACTATTCTCAAGAAATTTAAGTCTAAGTTGTGAGCTAAATAATTTAACTCCGTGAACGTTAGCTTCTTGCTTTCTATTAACTTCTTAAAAATAAACGCCCTATCTATTGAGTCAAAAGCTTTACTTACATCCAAAAATAAGGCATATAAGGGTGATTTCTTCTTATAAACTGTCTCTTGAATGTTATTAACTAAGGACTTAATTGCCTGTAAAGTGGATTTTCCTTTCACAAAACCATATTGATTGCCTGGAATCTCGTGAATCAAAGATGAGTAGATACGTGCATGCAGTACACGATCTAACAGATTGTAAAAAGCCGAACTAATACATATTCCTCTATATGAATTTGTATTTTCCGCGTCCCCTTTTCCCTTATACAAGAGTTTTAGATTTGACTGCCTCCATTCCTCTGGACATGTTCCTAGCTCCAAGCATTTGGTGAAAAATTGCGTTATTTCGGGGAGTAAGGATTCAACAAGTAGTTTAATATTTTCATTCTTCACTTTGTCAGGTCCAGGGGATTTCCCGTTTTTCATTTTCTTTAATGCTAACAAAACTTCTTCTTCCATAATAGGTGAAAAATTTATATCATTTCTGTAATCTACTATCATCTCTTTCAGATTTAACGATTCATTTTCACTCAATTTTTTCTCGTTGAAAATTTTTTCAAAATAACACTCCCATTCATCCATCATTATATTGTTTGTATTGTAAAAACTTTTGCTCAACTTGAGAATTTTATAGCACTTTTTCTGCTCCGCCTCTTTTAAAATGTCCAACTCCTTCATTTGCACAAAAGCGTTCTTCTTCATTTCACACATATTTTTGTAATTTCTTTTTATTGCGGTATAGTGCGGTAATAGAATCTTGATTATACTAGTTACATTTAAACTTTCAGCCACTTCCAAGCACTCTCTCCATTCGTTCAATTTCTGTTTTAATTCGTAGCATTCAGAATCAAACCACGGTTGACTAATCCGTTCAGTTTGCCTACGAGGAATGTCGGCCTCTTTCATAATATTTATCATATTTTTATAAAACTCTTCAACGTCCCCCTTTTCCAGATTTGTTTTTAGAATATTTTTATATTTAGTCTCAATAAGCTCTTTAAGTATGTTTTCATCTAATTTAAAATTTTTCTTATTCAAAGACATGTCCCCATTTCTGTTCTTTTGTTTTGTGAAATTAAATTCTATTGAAATAAAATTATGTTTTCTTATGGTTGGGCAAATTTTAAAATTTTCGGTGTAAATTTTTGACCCTTTGAAGATTAAATCAACCACACTATGACCATTACTACAGTCGTAGGTACTTTTATATGGATATTCATTTACTATTGTCAGACTGTTTTCCTCAGCAAAATCAAGCAGCGAGTCAATTTTTCTGTTTTTAGTATCCGGCCAGTCGGCAATTAAAGTCTCCAGCCAAAATGAAATTTTCAAAATTTTCAACATATTTAAGGATTGAGAGAAGTTCATTAGTCACTGTTGTAGAACGTATCTTCGGATTTAAATAGCATGTTACTACTGTAATGTCATCAAAATTTAGAATTATGAAGTTTTCCAAATATTTCACATTTAGTAAATTTCCTAACCTAGAATTAAAATACACGGAAATTCCCCTCATCGGTCGCCCTGCCTCCTTTTGTGAAGCTAAAACTTGCCTTGAATAAAAACCAGGAATGTGAAGTGGTTTCTTTAAAAATGTTTCCGTGAAAAGAAGAATATCATAATTTTGCAGTTCTGTTGCAATCGGAGATTCATATGCTTTCGTAAGCCCTTCACAATTCCAAAGCCCTAATTTTAAGTTACTCACGTCGCTGTTTCGACAAGGGAAATCTATAAAGAAAGTTTCTCACGAGCACTACAGTTGCGCTTGCTTCTGTAGCGCCGCCACCGAGGGCGCGCGCCACCCAAATCAAGTTCCCTCCAAACGCTCCCTCGAGCCACTCCTCCTTCTTTCATGCCGGACGAGCAAGAACGATACGCAAATTTCTTGTCCGTCGCATATCGACCAGCATCCGAGCCCCGATCATGGGGTAAGTGAAATTTCCCATTTTTCCCAAAAGTGAACATTTCCAAGTACACATTGAGACATTTCGTCAACCCCAAAGTGCTCCCCTTTTTCCAAAATCAAGCCGTCAAATTTGCCCTTTCAAAAGTGCTTCGAATTGCCATGTGCAAATCTTTAATTTTCAATTATGCAAATTTTCTGAATTGATTACTAATGAATATGTTAATTTTAATTTTCTCCGAATTCTCAATGATCTGAAATTATGATGTTTAGTAAAATTCTGATGATTTCTATTTGCAAATACCAAGCCAATGTTGGCCACATTAATTTACATTCGAACGACAAATTAATTTTCCTATCCAACCAAATTTCATTCCAACCAAACTCAAATAGTCAAATCAAATAAATAAAATGTATTTTTATTTCAATGTGATATTAATTTTTGTAAATATTTTTCAGTTCGGATTAAACCACAAAAAAAAACACCTGACTTGTTTTTCTCCACTTGAACAAACCCTTTTCTGTGGCCTGGAAGCCACAGTGGTGCCCAGTACCCTGGTCTTCAAGTAGATGTCTACTGGAAGAACCGGCGACAACGACGACAACAACCTCGTCTCCGAACAAGACCCACTCTTGTCCTCAACGGCGACCCAGCCTCTCTCGCCCACCGACGCATTCAGTCTCTTCGACGAAGTTGCCCGAGTTGCAGCCCAACCCACACCACCACCTCCAGACGAGGAAGCCGACCAAGTGCCCAAACCTGACACAGTCCGACCTGTAAACATGTCAGGCAATATCGGAAACGTCTCCATGCCCTGCTTTGCTTACGAGACAGCCCCATTCTGGCTAAAGCTGCTTGATGAGAAACTGAAAGATGAGCAAGTTGATGACGAGGTGGTCATGTTCAAGTTTCTCCGTGAGGACATTCCGATCACCGGCTCACCCGAGACAGTCCTCTCACTGCTCACCCCGATTCCACCCGTTAAGCCTTACACCACTCTGCGCGACGCCATCCTCACACACGTCCAACCCTCCGCCCAGAAACGAGTAATCCAACTCCTGATTGAAGAGGGCCTTGACGGTTCCACACCCTCTGAGTTTCTTGCCAGGATGCGCAAGATTGCTGACTCTGACCCAGAACACACGATGTTGACCGAGCTCGTCTTCTCCTGCTGGGCTGCCAAACTTCCTGCCTTTGTTCGCTTGGCCATCAGCGGCGAGAAGGACCTTGCCATCGCCGCATCCAAGGCGGACATGATGATGGCCAGGGACCGCAGCAGCAACCTGTCACAGCTGCTCTCCTCCACATCCTCCCCAATCGCTACTACAGCACAAATCTCGGCCATCAGCAAAGCTACTGACAAAAGCAACAACTCCGGCGGCGGCACCAACTCCCGTGTCGACCGGCTGGAGACAAAGATGGACGACCTGACCAAGCAGGTTTTGCTACTCACGCAGTCCGTCAACAACCTGCTGATCAACAACAGCAACAACTACAAAGGGCGCTCAAGAGCGCGCTCCAAAAGTCGCCCCCGAGACAGATCGTCCTCCCGCAGCACTGAGCTCTTCGACGACGACAACGCCCTGGGAAAGATTTGCTACTACCACAAGACCTACAACTTGGACGCTAGACACTGCACTTCTGGCTGCCGCTACTACGCTTCCCACCAAGCTCAGCAAGCCGCCGTGGCCAGCAACCCCCCGCCAGCGTCAAACTAGCCGGGCAGGCTGCCACAGTGGCCACACCCTGCCCCAGTTCCCCCGGCCGCCTCTTCGTTTTTGACCCCCTGAGTAAGATGTCCTTCCTGGTGGACACTGGTTCGGACATCAGCGTCCTGCCACAAAGACTGTTCCCTCAAATGAAACTACCCCTGAATTACAGCGTCACTGCTGCCAATGTGACTGAAATTAAGACTTACGGTTTTCACTCCCTCCAATTGTCCCTCAACTTACGGCGCACCTTTGACTGGACCTTTCTGGTGGCTGACGTCGAGCACCCCATCATTGGTGCCGATTTTCTCACTCGCTACAACCTGGTCGTCGACCTCGGCCTGGCCCGACTGACTGACCGGCTGACCTCTGCCCACGTACGAGGGTTCAACCGCCCTGAACCTGCCCCCACTGTGAAAATCATTGAAACTCAGAACCCGTTTTACCTGCTCCTGAAAGACTTCCCTGATCTCTGCTACGCTCCCAAAAAGCGCAAACCTCCCAAACATACCACTGTACACCGAATTGTGGTCACTCCAGGGCCACCAGTCTTCGCCCGATTCCGGAGACTCCCTCCAGATAAGCTGAAAGTCGCAGCCGCTGAAATCCAGAAACTGATCGACAACGGCGACGCACGGCGCTCCAAGTCCCCGTGGGCGTCTCCTGCAACCCTAGTCCCCAAGAAGTCCCCAGGTACATGGCGCTTCTGCGGAGACTACAGAGCTCTGAACGCTCGAACTGAACCTGATCGGTACCCACTGCCTCACCTTCACGACTGCACCCACGCCCTGGCCGGCTGCACAATTTTCTCCACCCTCGACCTTGACCGCGCCTACATGCAAGTCCCAGTTGCCCCTGAAGATGTCCCAAAAACCGCCATCACGACGCCCATGGGACTCATTGAGTTTCTATCTATGCCATTTGGACTCAAAAACGCAGGTCAGACATTCCAGCGCCTCATTCACGCAATTCTTGGCGACCTGCCATTCGTTTTTGTCTTCATTGACGACCTACTGATCGCCTCTCGTTCCCCAGAAGAACACCGTGAGCACCTCAGGCAAGTTTTCCAACGTCTACAGGACCATGGCCTGCTGCTGAACTTGGAGAAATGCGTCCTCGGCGCCTCAGAAGTCAGTTTTCTTGGTTACCTGGTCAACAAAGATGGCATCACGCCCCTTCCAGACAAAGTCACTGCCATCAGGGCCTACCCCACCCCCAAGGACAAGCAGGAACTCAGAAGGTTCTTGGGAATGGTGAAATTTTACCACAGGTTCCTCCCTCAAGCAGCCAAACTCATGGCCCCCTTGAACTGCCTACAGAATGGTCCCAAAGGTCACAAGAAAGCACCTCTCGAGAGATGGACCGACGTCGAGCAATCCGCCTTCGACGCTGTCAAGGACGCCCTGGCCAATGCTGCCTGCCTGGCACACCCCAGAGTTGACGTCCCACTCTCCTTGGTGACCGACGCCTCAGACTACGCCATCGGCGGCGTTGTCCAGCAACTGGTCGGCAGCACCTGGCAGCCTCTTGCCTTCTTCAGCCGCACTCTCTCAGCCGCTGAGAAGAAATACCCTCCCTACGACAGGGAGCTGCTGGGAATTTTTGCATCCATCAAAAAGTTCAGGTACATCCTCGAAGGTCGCCAGTTCCAGATCCTCACCGACCACAAACCTCTCACCTTTGCTTTTAGCAAGAACAAGACTGACTGTTCCCCGCGCCAGCTCCATCACTTGGAGTACATCGGCCAATTCTCCACCGACATCCAATTCATCAAGGGCACTGCCAACCTAGTTGCTGACGCCCTGTCCAGAATCGAATCCATCACGACCGCAGTCTCCTTCGCAGACATGGCCGCAGCTCAAGAAACCGACCCTGACTTCCTCAAATTTCGCAAACTCTCTGATTCTCCCCTGAAGCTGGAGCAGCGACCAGTCCCAAACTCTCCACATCAACTTTGGTGTGACCTGTCATCTGGTTCTCCTCGCCCTTTTGTCCCACACCAATTCAGAAGACAGGTATTTGACAATCTTCATAGCCTAGCCCACCCTGGCGCGAAAACTTCCCTCAGGCTGGTCGCCCAAAAGTTCATTTGGCCCAACATGCGCCGAGACTGCCTCCTCTGGGCGCGCACCTGCCAAAAATGCCAGTCTGCAAAAGTGACCAGACACACAAGAGCACCTCTTGTCCCTTTTCCTGAGTCCACAGAACGCTTCAAGGATGTGCACATCGACCTCGTCGGCCCACTCCCTGAAGTCGAAGGATTCCGGTACTGCCTGACCATGGTCGACAGATTCACTCGTTGGCCAGAAGCTGTTCCTCTGAAGCGCATCTCAGCCATGGACGTGGTGCGCGCTTTCCACTCCAATTGGATTGCCCGATAAAGAGTCCCTGGAACGGTGGTCTGCGACCAAGGCCGCCAATTTGAGTCTGACCTATTCAAGAAATTCAGCAAAAGTTTTGGTTTTGAAATTCATCACACTAATGCCTACCATCCACAGGCCAATGGCATGGTCGAGCGCCTCCATCGCACCCTGAAGGCGGCGCTGATGTGTCAAGATGCTGACTGGATGACCGCCCTGCCACTGGTCCTGCTTGGCCTCAGGTCGGTCTTCAAGGAGGACCTCAACACAACTCCGTCCCTCCTGGTCTACGGGGAAGAACTCCGGCTGCCCGGCACCTTCTTCGTACGGCCCACTCCTCAGCAAGCTGCTGACCTAGCTGCTCAACTGCGACACCACTTTGCCACACTTCTGCCAATTCCTGCAGCTCACCACGGAGGAAAATCCTTCTTTGTCCACCCTGACTTGGCCACTGCCACTCACGTGTTCCTGCGCACCGATGCTGTCCGAGGAGCTCTCGAGAAGCCCTACACTGGCCCATATCCGGTCGTCATGCGACACGCCAAGTCTTTCGTCATCGAGGTGAAAGGTAAACCTAAAGTTGTTACCATCGACCGACTCAAACCCTGCTATCAGCTCTCTGAGAAGGAGCCAGTTCCGAAGCCAGCAGAACCTCCGAGAAGAGTTCGTTTCAATTTGCCAGCAGCTCAACCAGCAACTCCTCCAGCAACTCCCTCGGCAACACCTTCGGCCCCAGACGCACCAGAAGCACCTCCAGACATACCAGAAGCACCCCCAGACACTCCTCCAGCAGCACCACCTGCGTGGCCAGCTCTGGAACCACCTCCCACCCCTCCTGACCACCCTCGCAGACCAAGGAGCCCAGACCTTGACAGCTCCAGTGACCTCGAACTCAATCACTTCTTCGAGCAACCCGAGACACCACCTGCGCCTCCAGCCCCAACTCCAGCAGCCACAGACGGAGTACGACACACTCGTGCTGGCCGGCAGCCCAAACCACCTGCCTGGACGAAGGACTTTCATATGTCCTGAGCACCTCCGGTGTCTTAGGGGGGGCCCCTGTAGCGCCGCCACCGAGGGCGCGCGCCACCCAAATCAAGTTCCCTCCAAACGCTCCCTCGAGCCACTCCTCCTTCTTTCATGCCGGACGAGCAAGAACGATACGCAAATTTCTTGTCCGTCGCATATCGACCAGCATCCGAGCCCCGATCATGGGGTAAGTGAAATTTCCCATTTTTCCCAAAAGTGAACATTTCCAAGTACACATTGAGACATTTCGTCAACCCCAAAGTGCTCCCCTTTTTCCAAAATCAAGCCGTCAAATTTGCCCTTTCAAAAGTGCTTCGAATTGCCATGTGCAAATCTTTAATTTTCAATTATGCAAATTTTCTGAATTGATTACTAATGAATATGTTAATTTTAATTTTCTCCGAATTCTCAATGATCTGAAATTATGATGTTTAGTAAAATTCTGATGATTTCTATTTGCAAATACCTAGCCAATGTTGGCCACATTAATTTACATTCGAACGACAAATTAATTTTCCTATCCAACCAAATTTCATTCCAACCAAACTCAAATAGTCAAATCAAATAAATAAAATGTATTTTTATTTCAATGTGATATTAATTTTTGTAAATATTTTTCAGTTCGGATTAAACCACAAAAAAAAACACCTGACTTGTTTTTCTCCACTTGAACAAACCCTTTTCTGTGGCCTGGAAGCCACACTTCTCTCCCTGGGTGCAACAGTCTGCGAATTAGGGGCATCATTTAGCTGCTCTCCGTCATCCGGCTTCCCTCCAGTCTCGTCTTCTTCCTCTCCGGCCTCCTTTGGGTTGAACAAATTCCCACAGTTTCCCCAGCGTTTGGAGACATACTTGTTGTACAGATGAACAGTGACAGGGACATCTCGAAGTTCTTCGTACAGAGTGTCCAAGACCCAGAGGCGATGCAGCCTGTCCATGCCACTGCACATGTAGGTCATTGCAATCTCATCAATCTCTTCCTCTCGAATGACTTGGGCCAGCTTAGCAAATGCAGTCTTCACTCCCTTTAGGAAAGGCTCAGGTGCTTTGTGCAACTTGTGGGGGGACCTCATTTTAGTTACCACGTGAAACACAGTACCGTACTTTTCAGTCTTCTCTCTGATGATTCCGCCTATTTCAGTCTTTCCCGGCTCAGCTTTCGGTTTGCCCACCGCCGCCGTAACCTCTTGTGCAGCCCCCATGCTGGTCCAGAGATCAGAGGCTATGGCGTGTGCCTTTATCTCTTGCTTGGCATCCAGTAGACTGACCCCTTGATGTTCAACAAACTTGACCTTGGCTCCCTCCACTGCGAGCGACTCATCATTCTTCAGGGCCTCATCGAGTTGGGCAGAGCGATCGATGTATTGGTTCACGCAGGGTGTGTCATCAGCCTTTGTCAGAGGAGCAATTGGTGGATAATAACCTCTCTGATACCTGCCGTGAAATTGCCTCCGTCTGTTATCTGTACCGCTCGACTCATTTTCTGCATTCTTCTCGTAGAAAAGGACCTTCCGCTCAAGCTCCCTCAGCTTAGCCTCGTGCTTCTCATCTCTCTCCTTCCAGGACAAACGTTCCTTTTCGAATTCCTCCTGCATCAAAGATACTGTTTTACTGAACATTTCGCCAAGTTGGTCATTCTGAATTTTGAGCTGATTTGAGAATTGCAGCGTGACATGCTGGAAAACACGCTGAATGATTTCCTCCAACGTTACTACAGCTCCCGGAGGAGCCGGACCTCCTGCGTAAGTCTGTCCAAAACCTCCTGAGTTGAGAACTGGTCCATTGTTTCCATTTTGCAGAGGGTTTGGCGCCATCTCCTGTCCGGGGGTGGGTGGAGTTCCTTCGGGCCATGCTGGATGATGGAATTTTGCTCTATTTTCTGTATGTCCGTTTATTTATTTTAATTGTGATCTTATTGATTATGAGATTCCATAGAGTGGCAGCACTGCTTCGGTAAGGAAAACACTGGTTTAGGAGGGTCGTGTGTCTAATTTCGCCTTTTTTCCCTGAGTTGAAGGCCATGGCATCTGCACATGTGCCGTGGAGGTCACCACAAGGGTACGCTGCCCAGCCACCCATAAATTGTGGCCCTTCTTACGGACATACAGAAAATAGAGCAAAATTCCATCATCCAGCATGGCCCGAAGGAACTCCACCCACCCCCGGACAGGAGATGGCGCCAAACCCTCTGCAAAATGGAAACAATGGACCAGTTCTCAACTCAGGAGGTTTTGGACAGACTTACGCAGGAGGTCCGGCTCCTCCGGGAGCTGTAGTAACGTTGGAGGAAATCATTCAGCGTGTTTTCCAGCATGTCACGCTGCAATTCTCAAATCAGCTCAAAATTCAGAATGACCAACTTGGCGAAATGTTCAGTAAAACAGTATCTTTGATGCAGGAGGAATTCGAAAAGGAACGTTTGTCCTGGAAGGAGAGAGATGAGAAGCACGAGGCTAAGCTGAGGGAGCTTGAGCGGAAGGTCCTTTTCTACGAGAAGAATGCAGAAAATGAGTCGAGCGGTACAGATAACAGACGGAGGCAATTTCACGGCAGGTATCAGAGAGGTTATTATCCACCAATTGCTCCTCTGACAAAGGCTGATGACACACCCTGCGTGAACCAATACATCGATCGCTCTGCCCAACTCGATGAGGCCCTGAAGAATGATGAGTCGCTCGCAGTGGAGGGAGCCAAGGTCAAGTTTGTTGAACATCAAGGGGTCAGTCTACTGGATGCCAAGCAAGAGATAAAGGCACACGCCATAGCCTCTGATCTCTGGACCAGCATGGGGGCTGCACAAGAGGTTACGGCGGCGGTGGGCAAACCGAAAGCTGAGCCGGGAAAGACTGAAATAGGCGGAATCATCAGAGAGAAGACTGAAAAGTACGGTACTGTGTTTCACGTGGTAACTAAAATGAGGTCCCCCCACAAGTTGCACAAAGCACCTGAGCCTTTCCTAAAGGGAGTGAAGACTGCATTTGCTATGCTGGCCCAAGTCATTCGAGAGGAAGAGATTGATGAGATTGCAATGACCTACATGTGCAGTGGCATGGACAGGCTGCATCGCCTCTGGGTCTTGGACACTCTGTACGAAGAACTTCGAGATGTCCCTGTCACTGTTCATCTGTACAACAAGTATGTCTCCAAACGCTGGGGAAACTGTGGGAATTTGTTCAACCCAAAGGAGGCCGGAGAGGAAGAAGAAGAGACTGGAGGGAGAAAGCCGGATGACGGAGAGCAGCAAAATGATGCCCCTAATTCGCAGACTGTTGCACCCAGGGAGAGAAGCAAGCGCAACTGTGGTGCTCGTGAGAAACTTTCTTTATAGATTTCCCTTGTCGAAACAGCGACGTGAGTAACTTAAAATTAGGGCTTTGGAATTGTGAAGGGCTTACGAAAGCATATGAATCTCCGATTGCAACAGAACTGCAAAATTATGATATTCTTCTTTTCACGGAAACATTTTTAAAGAAACCACTTCACATTCCTGGTTTTTATTCAAGGCAAGTTTTAGCTTCACAAAAGGAGGCAGGGCGACCGATGAGGGGAATTTCCGTGTATTTTAATTCTAGGTTAGGAAATTTACTAAATGTGAAATATTTGGAAAACTTCATAATTCTAAATTTTGATGACATTACAGTAGTAACATGCTATTTAAATCCGAAGATACGTTCTACAACAGTGACTAATGAACTTCTCTCAATCCTTAAATATGTTGAAAATTTTGAAAATTTCATTTTGGCTGGAGACTTTAATTGCCGATTGGATACTAAAAATAGAAAAATTGACTCGCTGCTTGATTTTGCTGAGGAAAACAGTCTGACAATAGCAAATGAATATCCATATAAAAGTACCTACGACTGTAGTAATGGTCATAGTGTGGTTGATTTAATCTTCAAAGGGCCAAAAATGAACACCGGAAATTTTAAAATTTGCCCAACCATAAGAAAACATAATTTTATTTCAATAGAATTTAATTTCACAAAACAAAAGAACAGAAATGGGGACATGTCTTTGAATAAGAAAAATTTTAAATTAGATGAAAACATACTTAAAGAGCTTATAGAGACTAAATATAAAGATAGATAGAGTATTTATTGAACACAACTAGGTGTACAACGGGTGTCTAAAGCTAATTTGTATTCCTAAAATTAATTTTACAATTAAGCTTGTTTCAGTAATTATTAGAAAGTACAAAAATTAGTTAATTCTGATTTTTGCAGCCTCTCTTAGGCTTAGTTTTCGTTCATTACATTCAAGAATATGATATTGTGAACATTTCTTACCGCAGTGCTTGCATTCACAATCTATTGTCGCTTGAGAATGAAAATTTTTATTCTTACAAAATAAATAGTGGTACCCGTGACAGGCAAATCTCGTAAATACTTGGCGATCACTGAACATTGCACATTGCCAATTTTTATTCTTCAAAGTTTCTGTCTCGTAGAACTCATCACATATCTCAAGTTTGTTTAAATATTTAGACACACAAAATTTCTGGAATGCTTCAGTTTCAGTTAGAGAATATTTTACCTGTAAGTCCGATACTAAGAGATCAGTGTCAACTAATTCATACACAAATCTAGATCTAATATACTTGGACAGTCCTAAAACTCTTTTTAAATATCTTGTTTTGACTTTTTCAAGATTTTCAAAATCAGTCTTTGTTAGGAAAGGCCATATTTCTTCAATGCCGTAGGACGCAATTAGGGAAATTTTTAGATCAAATAGCTTGTGTGCTGTTTCAATGGATAATTGTTTTAGTTCTCGTATATTATAAGTGGCCAGCAATGCAGCTCTTGTTCTTTTTTCAATGTGCTTTCCAAAAGAGATTCCTGATGGTTGAAAAGTAACTCCTAAATATGTAAACTCAGCAACTCTCTCTATTTCAATTCCACCTAAATCTAGGCGGTCACTTAATGCATATTTTCCTAGACCCTTATTTCTAAATTTCATGAATTTGCACTTTTCCAAGTTAAGTTTCAAACTGCGTTTTAACAAAAATTCTTTCATTCTGGCTAAAGCAATTTTCAAGTCACTTAATTTTTCTGAGGTTAACACAATATCATCTGCATAATATATGGCTATCACGTTTGGCAAATCTCGTAGAATATTATTTATATCAGCTAAAGAGTAATTGAACAGAAATGGGGTCGTGCATCCCCCCTGTCTTACCCCATTTGATTGTGTAATAAGTTTTGATACTGTTACTCCATCTACTATTCTCAAGAAATTTAAGTCCAAGTTGTGAGCTAAATAATTTAACTCCGTGAACGTTAGCTTCTACTAAATATAAAAATATTCTAAAAACAAATCTGGAAAAGGGGGACGTTGAAGAGTTTCATAAAAATATGATAAATATTATGAAAGAGGCCGACATTCCTCGTAGGCAAACTGAACGGATTAGTCAACCGTGGTTTGATTCTGAATGCTACGAATTAAAACAGAAATTGAACGAATGGAGAGAGTGCTTGGAAGTGGCTGAAAGTTTAAATGTAACTAGTATAATCAAGATTCTATTACCGCACTATACCGCAATAAAAAGAAATTACAAAAATATGTGTGAAATGAAGAAGAACGCTTTTGTGCAAATGAAGGAGTTGGACATTTTAAAAGAGGCGGAGCAGAACAAGTGCTATAAAATTCTCAAGTTGAGCAAAAGTTTTTACAATACAAACAATATAATGATGGATGAATGGGAGTGTTATTTTGAAAAAATTTTCAACGAGAAAAAATTGAGTGAAAATGAATCGTTAAATCTGAAAGAGATGATAGTAGATTACAGAAATGATATAAATTTTTCACCTATTATGGAAGAAGAAGTTTTGTTAGCATTAAAGAAAATGAAAAACGGGAAATCCCCTGGACCTGACAAAGTGAAGAATGAAAATATTAAACTACTTGTTGAATCCTTACTCCCCGAAATAACGCAATTTTTCACCAAATGCTTGGAGCTAGGAACATGTCCAGAGGAATGGAGGCAGTCAAATCTAAAACTCTTGTATAAGGGAAAAGGGGACGCGGAAAATACAAATTCATATAGAGGAATATGTATTAGTTCGGCTTTTTACAATCTGTTAGATCGTGTACTGCATGCACGTATCTACTCATCTTTGATTCACGAGATTCCAGGCAATCAATATGGTTTTGTGAAAGGAAAATCCACTTTACAGGCAATTAAGTCCTTAGTTAATAACATTCAAGAGACAGTTTATAAGAAGAAATCACCCTTATATGCCTTATTTTTGGATGTAAGTAAAGCTTTTGACTCAATAGATAGGGCGTTTATTTTTAAGAAGTTAATAGAAAGCAAGAAGCTAACGTTCACGGAGTTAAATTATTTAGCTCACAACTTGGACTTAAATTTCTTGAGAATAGTAGATGGAGTAACAGTATCAAAACTTATTACACAATCAAATGGGGTAAGACAGGGGGGATGCACGTCCCCATTTCTGTTCAATTACTCTTTAGCTGATATAAATAATATTCTACGAGATTTGCCAAACGTGATAGCCATATATTATGCAGATGATATTGTGTTAACCTCAGAAAAATTAAGTGACTTGAAAATTGCTTTAGCCAGAATGTAAGAATTTTTATTAAAACGCAGTTTGAAACTTAACTTGGAAAAGTGCAAATTCATGAAATTTAGAAATAAGGGTCTAGGAAAATATGCATTAAGTGACCGCCTAGATTTAGGTGGAATTGAAATAGAGAGAGTTGCTGAGTTTACATATTTAGGAGTTACTTTTCAACCATCAGGAATCTCTTTTGGAAAGCACATTGAAAAAAGAACAAGAGCTGCATTGCTGGCCACTTATAATATACGAGAACTAAAACAATTATCCATTGAAACAGCACACAAGCTATTTGATCTAAAAATTTCCCCAATTGCGTCCTACGGCATTGAAGAAATATGCCCTTTCCTAACGAAGACTGATTTTGAAAATCTTGAAAAAGTCAAAACAAGATATTTAAAAAGAGTTTTAGGACTGTCCAAGTATATTAGATCTAGATTTGTGTATGAATTAGTTGACACTGATCTCTTTGTATCGGACTTACAGGTAAAATATTCTCTAACTGAAACTGAAGCATTCCAGAAATTTTGTGTGTCTAAATATTTAAACAAACTTGAGATATGTGATGAGTTCTACGAGACAGAAACTATGAAGAATAAAAATTGGCAATGTGCAATGTTCAGTGATCGCCAAGTGATTACGAGATTTGCCTGTCACGGGTACCTCTATTTATTTTGTAAGAATAAAAATTTTCATTCTCAAGCGACAATAGATTGTGAATGCAAGCACTGCGGTAAGAAATGTTCACAATATCATATTCTTGAATGTAATGAACGAAAACTAAGCCTAAGAGAGGCTGCAAAAATCAGAATTAACTAATTTTTGTACTTTGTAATAATTACTGAAACAAGCTTAATTGTAAAATTAATTTTAGGAATACAAATTAGCTTTAGACACCCGTTGTACACCTAGTTGTGTTCAATAAATACTCTATCTTAAAAGAAAAATATGTCTTTGCACACTTTAATTTCTTATTGATTGTCATTTCAAAATATTTAAATTTTTTTTATTCCTTCTTTTTTTATTAATAATTTTATTTTTTTTAGTGATTTTCCAAAATAAATGTTTTTTTTTTAATTTATCAAAGAGAAGGTTTCAATTGTCTGCGTGTTTGGAGAACAAAGCCGCATCCTTCTTCTATTAAAGTGGTCTCATACTCTAAATCACATTTAATAAACGCAGACCCTGCAAGCTCTAAATTAAACAATTCGCAAAGCGACCGTTGCAGTGTCGTCTAACGTGGTTACATCACCACGGCCGCTGTAAGAGAATCAATACATCAAGAGCGAAATTGAGCCTTGCTCAAAGAATTTCAACTCCTGAAATTTCATAGGAAGATTCTTTATTTCATTGTTAACGTTCAAGGCTGGCTCTCGTACACTATCAGACCACGGAAAAGACCATATTAATTATAATTGATTATAATAATCATAAATTGGCATGAGAAATTACATGCTGAACATTCATTTCAATGTCATTTGACATTGAAATGTTCTGAAATGCTTGTGTTAAAATTTTATGCGAGAATAAATATTAAATTTTTTGCAGTATTTTTTTTATCAAATGCACAAAAATGGCATTGATGGGAAAATTAATTGGCTATCAAAATAATCTCACTATTGAACAAGTTTTGAATATTTAATGTTTTAGTTCAAAACGGGAAACTGTAAGGAAGCTAAACTTGAAATTGTCATTATATTTTCGTGACTATAAAAGAAACAGGCAACGCACATTTTATATGGGTTTCGTAGGATAATTTTGCATTTTCCCTAAACTACCTTAATCGAATGGCGAGACCTAAATAATTTTATTAAGGAGATTGTGTGTGTATTCTCGGAGAGGAGAAAGGAAAAGTGTCACACGCACCAAATCGTATAATGCACGTTATAAAAAGCCGAGCTCTTTTTTTATCTTTCGGTGACCGGCTGCGGGTGTGTGTTTTGTGTGTGACCTCAAAAGTGACGCAATCGGTTCTCCAGCAGTGGAGGGAGGGGGCAGGGAGGGGACCGCACCAGACGCAGGTCGAGAGGAGAGGGACGACCGACCGGCTGCATACCGGAGCGAGCAACAAGTTGTCGTGTCTGTCTTGCAGTTCGAAGCGCGGAGCGAGTGAGAAAGAGTTGAAAAAGAGTTGGCCCAGCGAGCCAAGCAAGGTGCGGTCCCATCATCCCTTCGACACCTGCCCTATCCGAAAGTCACACAAGAGCATGGCCTACCACGGACCGTCGTACGGCCTCAGCAGGGAGTGCCAGATGAAGGTACTAGAAATTTTCAACAAATTTTTTAAATTAAAATTGGAATGAAAGGCAGGAGGGTCACGGTCGTCCACGGCGGCATTTTTTCACGTGTGTGTTATTTGGCCGCCGCCGCTTCATTTGTTCCTTGCCTGCGAGCTGTGTTAGTGCGTTCGATTCGCAGCTTTCCTCCTTTCGCGAGTATTGATTCTTCTCGAAGAAATTATTTAATCAAACAAAAAAGAGTGAATCACTCTCTCGCTCGTTCTCGATGCCGCCAGTGGTGAAATTCAATTTGAGATCTAGTTGACGTCTGAGACTGTAAAAGAGACACTAAAGAAATTCAATATCTATCATCATCATCAACCAGCTTTTGATGAAATTATTTATTGTGTGGACTGTGGAGAAGAAAAAAATATAAAAATGTAGTTGTTTTTTATCGGTGTTTATATATTGATGAGATAAGTGATATTTCAACTTCTTAACTATGCTTTGCAGAAAAAGGGACAGAAAAATTTATTTTAAAATGAAGCTAATTTTATTCCATTTTTAAAAAAAATGGGATTTTTTAAAATTTAAAATTTTTGTGTATTCCTTTGAATATTTGAAATAATTGAAAATGCAATGATAAGCGAAATCAGAATTTGATTAAAATTAAAGGATATGTTAACTTTGACAACAGAGCTATTTAATTTTGGCATTGATTTTTATCATTAAGAATAAGCGTGCCCTTCAAAACAAAACAAACAAACTAACGAGTCCCCTTTGTAAACTTTTGCACGTCACTCTGGGTGACTTAAAACTTCAATAGCTTCTAATAAATTTTGATTTTTCGATGACTCCAATTTTTTCGACGTTAAGTTACAGAAAAATTATCAAAAATATTTATTGATAATCCGTGGACGTTCATTTTGATCATGGGCCTGCTCATGAAAAAGTACGGAGTTTGTTAAATCGACTTTGGTAAATAAATTTATTGCAGAATTGGGCGAAAAAAATGTCACCTTGCATTAAATTAAGACATTTTCAAAAATATTTCTTTATCAATTCCAATCGTTTTAAGCAGGAATATTTTGTTGCCCAAAAAAAATTGTACAAAAAATATTGTATGATGTATGCAGATGTATGTGACACTTCCTATAATTTTCAATTTTTATTTTTAGCCGTTTAAGTCTCAAATTGCACTCCTTTTTTTAAATGTGTTGAAACTACTTTTGATGATTTAATTTTTAGTGATTTTTAGTAATAATAGAAATTTCTTGATATCTAATGGACCCAAAATTGAACTACGCCAAAAGTCTACCTTTGCCATTTTTAACGTTTTATTTCCTCACTCCAGCGCGCAGCGGAGTAAATTTTTATTGCTTAATTGTCGCATTCCTCTTTGGTGCCGTACAAGTTTGGATTCTCGTCTCTCGACGGCGCGAATATTTTACGACGGGAAAATAATTGCGTCTCCTCCACGCCGGTCATAAAGTAAAGAAAAATCTGCGTGCAAGACGAAACGCATTGGCCCGAGGACGAAAGTGAATAAAATCGAAACAGAATGAGAGCGGCCTCGCGTAAATTCGCGACGAGTTTTTTTTTTGCTGCGGTTTCTCGTGTGTATTTCCCAACTGATGCCTCTTGAGCTACAACGCAAGAGAAGCGCTGCACGATTTGGCTGGTTCGTATTTTTGTTTGGTTTGCTCTCGCGCGACCATAAGAAGATAAAATACGCTGTCGAGAACAATCAATTGCAGGCCGGCGAGAGCGACCAGCCGTGAATCGCGCCGCGCTCCATCGCAGAAACTCAAAACTATAATTTACCTATTATTAGGCGCGTGCAAATTTAGAACTAGTTGAAATTTAATATTAGTTCTAACTTCTAAGCATAAATATTACAAAATTTAATTGGGATTGAAAATACCCAGTTTATTTGTAATTTTATGCAATTCGAAAATCAATAAAAATTAGCTTTTCTTTAACAAATTTTTAAACAGTATACAACAGGTTAGCGCTTAAATATTCTCATATAATAATTTTTACCTGAAAAATTCTTATTTTTTAATTTGAGGTCCGCCTTCCCCAGTTAAAATTAAAAACAAAAATACCAAATAATTATTTATTTCTTCCACATATTGCAACCTTGAATTTTCCAGAATTTTCAAAATTTGAATAATTCCGTTTTTTGTGGATAATTTTTTATTGTTTTTGTAAGAACTATAATTTTTGAATGTACTAAATATTTTTGAAGAGAAATTTTTTTAGCTGATTTCATACTAATTGATTTTCAGTAATTGAATATAATTAATGAGGAGCAATAAAAAAAAATGATTTTTGTTAAAATTAAGAGAAAATTCAGAAAATTGTTGAACAAGACAAAAATTTTTTTTCTTTTAATTGGAATCTTACAACTAATTCGACTTTAAAAAATGAGAAGTAAAAAACGTGATCAGCTTTAGAGATTTTTATTGCAACTAACTTGTCTCCTTTGACCATTATAATTTGTAAGTAATAAAAATGAATAATGACCAAAATTCAATTGATAAATTAATCCTCTGGAAACTGTTCCTTCAACATCCGTAAGGTGAGATTACTCGGGAAAAATCCTGAAAATCGGCTTTTTTCTACTCAACAGATGAGATAAAATTGGAAACTCTATTTTTCTCCAGGTATATAAAAAATTCAGTTCTTATTTCCTGGTCAAATCAAGATTGAAAAATTCAAATTAAAATCTCCTTATATGGACGGGAAATTGCGCTAAGCTGCTCTATCATTTGCCAAGCCTCTTATTTATTTTTACTCTCTCATCAGTTACTCATCCCATGAGAAAACTCGCTTATTTATAATGAAAAGAAGTGTGAATCAAGCTGCGAGAAGAAATTCCGTCCGGAGAAAATCGGTGGCGCCGCCCGCGTCTCGCTCTCAAGCCTTATCTCAGATGAAAAAGCAAAAAGCCGCGGTAAAAAGTCATCAGAGTTGGAAAATAAACAGGAAACAGCGAATGACGTCAATTAAAGTCGGAGGACACCTCGTTCGAGAGCTGCAGATGGACCAATTGGCGCGGCAGATGTGGCGAGAGGGATCTCTCGTTGCTACTTTAATTACAACAAATTCCTCTGCAGCTCGCGTCTGATTTACATACAAACATACATTGTCAAGCGAGGAACGTGCTCGAGTTTTCAATCCACCACTTTCACTTTTGACTCCCGCGAGACAAAAAAAGCACGCGGAAAATATGTTTAGGTTTTTCCCCGCGCGACACACGAAACGCATTTCTAGGGCTTGCATTTCTGGTGCTGCACACCGGCTTATAATTAATCATGCTGTCTGCGTGCGCTTTTCCTATTTTTATTTCCTCTCCTCTGCCTCGTAACCGTGCCAGGCTTGAAAAAAATGGACGTGTAGGGAATTGATCAACACAACTGATAAAAAGGCTTCATTTTTTAAATGCTTTATCTAAATTTTTAAAACAATAGTAAAAGAGAATTCATTTTATTAAAAGTTTTATTTTGTCAACATTCTACTAAAATTTTAAAGTTTCTAAATCCCTGGAAAATAATTTATTTAAGAAATCTGCGCAAACGATTCAGAATTACATTATTTTTGGCACAAGAAATTTATTATTAATTAACAATTCCATCAATTTTCCTCTAAAATCACTATTACATATGTTGCTAAAATAATCCTTATTTAATTTTGTTGTTGAGATTCCTCCAACACACGCCAAGCAATTTTCTCATTTGACCAAAGATTTAATTGGTTTTGTGTCTGTTTAGCAACATTTTCGCACTTTTCCGCCTGCCAGAGCGTCAAATTATAATTAATTGCCATCTCTCTCCCAGACGCAAATGAGTGTAAAACGTGTAATTAACCGCGAGCTGGTTTTTCTCTCTATTTTTTTTTTTGTGTGTCAGGCGTGGAGAATTCGTGTGAAATAGCACACGCAACACCCACGCGTTGAATCTTTTTTGGCTTCAAGCAATTATAAATAAAAAAAAAACACTTTTGCTTCGCAGGCGCAGGCAAAGTTCAGCCTGGAAAGAGCGCTCGAGTGCGTTTCGTGGGTGGAGGACATGATTGGCCGCCGCCTTGACACCCCCGATCAACAGTCCATCAAGGACCAACTTGACTTCGCCTACGGCCTTAAGGACGGCGTTGCTCTATGCGAGTAAGGATTTTCCAAATAAACAAATTTTTACAAAAGTGTAATTCTGCCGCTAAAAACTTTCTCTTACTTTTTTAACTTTTTTAAATTTTCTGGTATAAAAAAAATATTTATAAATTAAAAACTACAGTTCCATTTTTTATTGATGTGTTTTTCCCTCATACACATACAAAAATTTTATCTTCTTCTAAAAATTCTTGTTAATTTTGGCATTCAAAATGGCATTATTTTTTTTAACGGGACCCACTTTTGGCATGGGGTCGGCGGATCTTGTTGAAAATTGGTAGTTTGGTTGCCCTTAGGGTGTAGACAAATAGTTTAGAAGGATTTTTGAAAATTCTCAAAATTGCCTATTTTACAGGGGCTCAAAGTTGGGGATTTTTAAAAAAGGTGTTTTCAAAAATCAAAAATATCTCAGCTCCTGCTGCAGATAGCGCATGTGTGTAAATAAACAAAATTGTAGGAAATTAGACGCCCTACAACTTTGTCATAGTGACCAAGGTCATAGGTCAAAGTTCAGGGTCAACTTTTTAAGCTTGAATTTTTTGATGCGCCACCAAAGTACCTAGTACATAAAAATTTTTGATTCCATTATAGCCAAAAGTTGCTCTAGTTGGTAGTCAACAACATATTAAAATTTGGCGAGACTGTTTTTTTCCGTTTTTGAGATATTTTAGGTCAAAAGCAGAAAAACGTGGTTTTCCGAGCATTTTCCTACACAAATCAACATTTAACCGCCCGTAACTTTTTTCCTGCTAAAGTTACGCAAAAATGTATGATGACAAAAAATGATTGCCTTGACCTGTTCTTTCAAACCATGTATCGCACATAGTGACCAGGTCACAAAAGGTCATTGACCTCGGTGACCTGTGACCTTGCAAGTGCAAAACTGAATTTCAGATACTGTTATGTTTCTTTTCATTGAGGTGAAACATTTCCAGCAAATATTTTTGGAAAGGTCACAGGTCACCGAGGTCAATGACCTTTTGTGACCTGGTCACTATGTGCGCTACATGGTTTAAAAGAACAGGTCAAGGCAATCATTTTTTGTTATTACACATTTTTGCGTAACTTTAGCAGGAAAAAAGTTACGGGCGGTTAAATGTTGATTTGTGTAGGAAAATGCTCGGAAAACCACGTTTTTCTGCTTTTGACCTAAAATATCTTGAAAACGGGAAAAAACAGTCTCGCCAAATTTTAATATGTTGTTGACTACCAACTAGAGCAACTTTTGGCTATAATGGAATCAAAAATTTTTATGTACTAGGTACTTTGGTGGCGCATCAAAAAATTCAAGCTTAAAAAGTTGACCCTGAACTTTGACCTATGACCTTGGTCACTATGACAAAGTTGTAGGGCGTCTAATTTCCTACAATTTTGTTTATTTACACACATGCGCTATCTGCAGCAGGAGCTGAGATATTTTTGATTTTTGAAAACACCTTTTTTAAAAATCCCCAACTTTGAGCCCCTGTAAAATAGGCAATTTTGAGAATTTTCAAAAATCCTTCTAAACTATTTGTCTACACCCTAAGGGCAACCAAACTACCAATTTTCAACAAGATCCGCCGACCCCATGCCAAAAGTGGGTCCCGTTAAAAAAAATAATGCCAAATATTTCCTGTTGAGTTCAAATTTACACGTTGATGTGCATTTAGACAGATTTGGGAAAAGTTTTTTTTATAATTTTTTAATTTTTCTTGCCACTTTTTAAATCATTTTATTTTTAAAACTAGAAACGTTTGGTAAATTATGCATTTTTATGGGAGTTTTAGAGAATTTATTATATTTGTCTAAGACAAAAGACAAAACAAAAAAATTTTACGAGCTGTGAAATTATATTGTATTTCTTGTTGCGTTTCAGGCTGATAAACAGGCTGGAGCCAGGCACTGTGAAAAAGATCAATGCCATGAAAGCACCCTTCAAACAGGTTTGCAGACACTATTATATTTTCATTCAAGTTTTACTTCAGTAAGTGAATCGCATTTTCAATTGTAACTGAAATTTCAGAGAGAAAACATTGAGATGTTCCTGAACGGCTGCATTTCCTACGGACTCAAATCGCAAGACTTGTTCCAGGTCAACGACCTATACGAGCATAAAAACATTTACATGGTGGTCGACTGTTTGTTCTCGTTAGGAGGCTTGGTAAGTTTTTTCAATCAATACATTTTTTTAATTCTAAATTATGAAAAAAATTGGCATTGCAGGCGCAGAAAAAGCAATTCGACGGACCGACGCTGGGGGTCAAGGTCGCCAACGAGAACAAGCGCAATTTCTCGGCGGAGCAGTTGGCCGAGAGCAACAGGATAATAGGGCTGCAGTATGGCAGCAACAGAGGGGCGAGTCAGGCCGGCATGACTGCGTTCGGCCACACCAGACAAATCCTGCCAGACGGTACTTCATTTATTTCGACAGCTTTCTTGCAAGTCAGGGGGTGTTATTTTGTGTAAGGGCGTGACAGCCTTGAAAAATCACAAACTCTGAAAGTTTCTTTTTAATTTCCAGACTGATAAAAAATATTAATTCTTCCAAGAGTCTAATTTTAAGTCACGACAAAAAAAAAAAATTTGCTCTGTTTCAACGTTTTCACATTCAATATAAATTTAATAGTCAAACTTGTTTTTTGTTGATTTCAGAGTTCATGCGGCGCTGATGAGAGCAAAGAAAATTTTGTACAAGTCCAAATTCAGCCATGCGCAGATTAACCCCGTTAAGTATTTTAAGTTAAGAAAGTGAAGAATCCTCTACTACTTACTGATAGAACGCATGCAAATCAATATGTTAATCAAGTGCTGTCTTTTAACCAAGAGACGAGATGATTTTAAAACTATTTATTTGTAAGGATAAGCGACAATGAAACCTTGCCACGAATAAACATATAAATTTTGAGTGTCATTTACAAATTTGCTGGTTTCTTTCCTTTTCACGCCTGTTTCGGGTTGCAAGAGTTGCTGGGGTAGTTGAAGAGTCTGTCCTTGATGACCTGCGCCACCAGGCCGTGGATGACCTCGATGGTGGTCTTGCTGCTGTCCTTGGTCGCCTTGCCCAACTTGTCCTCAGTTCGTTTCTCGTGCGGGTCGATCATCATGAAGTTGCCTCTGCCCAACGCCGTCTCCGCTTGCTCCAGTTTGTCTGAGAGGTCAAAAATCTGGCCAGTTGTGTAGTCAGCATTCTAAAATTTGAAACAAACTTTTAGTTAATGATAAAAATACCTTCAAATGTGGTAGAAAAGAGCCAGGATTTAGTTCATGGCACCTTTAAATTAATTAAGAACCTTTTTTAATAGGCTTATTGTTTTTGAAAATATTGAATAATTTTAAAAGTTTCGCACAGTGATGAGTGAAGATGATCCAAGGGTGTTGACCCAGTAGCGGTTCCACAGAGAGTCGAGCAGTCTTCTGTCCAGGCTCGATTTGAAGTAAGTGACGTCAAGTGCATAATACTGCTTGCAGTGCACGCCGAAGTCCTCAATTTTGTTCAGCGGAATCGTCTGGTACTCGGAAGGCTCATCGTTGGCAGCTTTGTAGCCCTAAATTTCAATTTGAATTAACAAACCAATAAGTAAATTTGTAAATTGGATTTACCTTGGGGTATGTCCTGAAAGCAGCCAGGTTGACTTTTCCAGCCGAAATAGTCCTCACAGGATCGATCACAATGGCAACGAAAGGTTCCTGGAAGTTTTGGTTCAGCATTTGCGTGGAGACGTCAATTCCGCTCAACCAGCAGCCGTAGCCAGGGTGGCTGTGGTACCAACCAATTGCATTTTCCAACCGTCCAACCTGATAAATTTTAAGAAAATTTTAATAATCAGCACTTGAAATAAACATGTGATAGATCATTTAAATCAAATAAAGAGTATTCATTGAATAAAAAAAGTAGTGACCTTCTTTGCCGCCTCCATGTATTGGGTCATGTACTCGTAAGCCTGCGCCTGGGCATTGACCCTGGTTTCGGTGCCCTCGACTGGCAGGGCGAACGAGTCCATCACGACCATCGTGTTTCCGTCCACCTTGCCGACGAGCAGTCCCATCACTTCTAGGGTGCCGCCGGATCGGGCGTGCATCACCATCTTGAGCAGCGCCAGGGCGGAAATTCGGATATCCTTGAAGAAGTGCGGACTGTGGAGAGGAACGTTTTAGAATGGCTATTTTTATATTAAAAAACATTGTATTACTCCTTGTCCCACGGTTTGGCGGACTGAATGTCCTTTTGTTGCTTGTCGTCGTAGCGGTAGACGTCGTCGATCGAGTTGACGTTTTCGATGTTGTTGCTCAACTCCCATGTTTTGCGGGCAATCTCGCGCTGATTGTCGCTCGCCGAGCTCGCCATTTCTATTAGATGACTTAGCAAAACGTTCTGCAGTTAATTGACGTAAAATTGTGCTCGCAAGAGATCTTAATTTTTTCTGAGATGAAAATAAATATGAAAATTCTGCTCGATTGCAGGATTCTTTTTGTGTGTACTTGCGCAGAACAACCAATTTGGTCTTTTTGAATTTTGAATACCTTAGCCACCTATCGGCGACGAAGAAACTAACAGAGGCATGGGATGACATGACTGGGGTTAAAAAACCGTAAAAAACATTGACCAAAGTGGGAGAAGAAGACATAATTTTTTTAATTATACAGCATTCATGTACCCATTTTTGTTTCTTCAAGCCCAGGAAAAAATCCGAACGAAATTTTGAAGTATTTCCAAGGGCTGCGATGGAAGCCCTGATTCGGCTGAACAACCAGACTGCTGGACGCGATAAAATCGCAAGGTACGGAACTTCAAAATACATAATAATTGAAAATAAACAAACATTACCAATAAAAAAATAAATATTACATTTTTCATTCTTAATTTATCCTATTGCTAATTTACATACAAATTTACTATCTCTCTTTTACAATGGTTAATAATTAAAATCGACTCCGTAATTAATAATTAAATTAAAGTTAAAGTGCTTATCCCTCAAGAAGAGATTAAATTTTTGACATAGAATCTCTGTCAGATAATTTGCTCTGAACCTTTGTTCCTATTAATTGAGGGTAAAATTCTTTCAGACTTCTGCAGTATCTAAGCCGAGCGCTATGGGCTCTTTTGGAGGGACGGCCGAGGGCGGTTCACAAACTGCAGGGCCTCGAGAACGCCCTCTCAACCTTCCGCAAACTGCTTCGATGGGGACGGTGCGTGGAGGCCGTTCACTCTGCCCTGCAGGCCATGTCGCACCCTGACGCCGCCCAGAGGACCATCCTGGCGCTCGGACGCATCGCTCATGCCCTCTTCCTTTTTGCCGACCACATCCTCTGGCTCGGACGGGCCGGACTAGCCAAGGTCGACGCCAAGAAATGGGCTAGCATAGCCAACAGGTTTACCAGTTTATAAATCGCACCCTTATTTGTAACGGGAAAAATTATCAGGTACTGGTTGTACTCGGTGACGATGAACTTGGTGCGAGACCTGATGGCCCTTCGAGAAGCCAAGGAGCGAAAGGGCAGCATCTCAGGAGAGGGGCCCTGGATTGTGGACACCGTCAAAAACAGCTGCGACTTTTTCATTCCTCTGACTGCCCTCGAGCATATCAGACTAGGTCCCGCGACTATTGGACTTCTTGGAGTTGTCTCATCGCTCGCTGGTCTGCTGCCCATGTTGCACCCACAGCTCAAACTCTAGCTTAAGTCTTGTTGAATTTGTGCATTTTATACTTTTATGTTGGCTAATAAAATTATCAGAATATTCGTAAAAAATATCCACAAGTATTTTCTGTAGAATTGCTATTTGCGCATTGATGAATCAGTAATTATAAAAATTCGTAATCTCGACAGGTAGTCAATACTTATCAAACAAAGAGAGAAATCTATAATTAGGAGTCTCGAGGGTCCATCAGTCTGAAAAAAAAAATCAAAATGAGATGAAAATTATTTTAACTCGGAAAGTCTCACTTGTGAATGGTGAGGTCAGGGTTGGCTGCCAAGTTCATTTCCTGCGGAGTGAAGAAGATGAACTGGTTGTCGGGCCTTGATCTGGCCTCATCCAGCAGCATGTCCATGGCCCTGCGTCTGAAATTTTTACTTTGAGCAAAAGGACTGTCAAACATCAGAGTGGTCAGCATACCTGTTGGCCATGTCCATGAAAACGTCAAACTCGTCCAGCATGTAGAAGGGGATGAGCAGTTTGCTCCACACAGCCAACACCAACGCCACTGTGGTGAAAGACCTTTCTCCTCCGGACAGGTTGTGGGCGCCCTCCCTGCCTTCACCCCTGAACTCATTGTCAGTCTTGATGGTCATGATTCTCTCTTCCAATTTCACATCAAGACATCCCTGATTTAATTTTATTTAATTAGCTCAAATGGTAAGTAAATTTTGATCAGCATTAGTACCTTGATTGGTTGGGTCTCGAAGAGATTAGAGAAGTACAGGTTGATGTGAGTGTAGGTGTTCATGACTGTGGTGCCATAAAGGCTGACCCTCTTCTTCATACTCTCATCCATTTCGGCCCAATTGGAGGCCACCAAATCAACCTTGGCCAGCTGCTCGGCCACACTTCTCTCAAGCTTTGCCACCTCTGCAGCAACAGTTTCTTCATTCTCCAAAGCGCTGTGCAGCTTCTGAAATCATTAAATAAGAAAAAAATTATAGCTTGATCCTTTAAAAAATTTACTTGGAGAAGATTTTTTTTTTCAATAATTTTGCATTTTTATTTCTCTTTTCTTAATTTAAAATTCACTTACCCTGAGGAAAGAGTTCTGGCGCTCAATTTCCTTCTGAATTATGGCCTTCGACTTGCCCGTGTCAACTCTTGTGCCTATCAAGTTTGCTTCAACAGTGGCTGTCAGAGTCTTCTTCCTCTGGTTGGCCAATTCAGCCTCCATCTCAGCTTTCCTCTGGGCCATTTTGGAGAGTTGCTGGTTCCTGGCTTGAGACTTGTTCTCCTCGGCCTCCATCAACTCCTCTAACTCTAGTTTTCTGTTGTTACACTCGCAGTACTTCTCATGTAAGGCCTACAGTACATTTTTTTTATTACAAAATATTTTTGCTTTTAAAAAAAAGCAAACCTTGCATTCAGCAGCCAGGTGAATCATCTGCCTCACAATCTCGTTCTTCTCTTTTTCTGTCTCGGCATTTCTCTCGGCCAGGTGCTCCTTCTCCTGCTGCACCTTTTCAATTTCCTCTTGCATTTCATTCATTTCCTCTCTCTGATAAAAGCAAATTAAAACCAAGTTTTAGAATAACTTAGACTATACGAACCAGAGTTTGCATGTTGTCAGTGGTGTTGATGGGAGGCAAGTTCTCCACCTGCCGAATGGCAGACTCAAGGCGTTCGGCAGTTGAGTCCAAGTTCTTGCGACGAGACTCAAGGGCAGACAGTCTTTCCCTCACACTCCTGTACTCCTTCTCACACTGTCTGTACTCTCTCTCCGCAACCACTTTCTCTTGGTTGGCATGGGCTAGGCGCTGTTCGTACAGAGCCAAATTGGCCTCACGATTCTTCAAGAGGTACAGCACCTAATTTTGGAAAAAACTAAAGAATGGTTTGAAAGGTGAACTCAAATCTCATACATCAGTTTCCTTGCCATAGACCTTGAAGTTTGGATAAGGGTAGACCTGTTCAGCATCTTTGGTCACAACCATAATGCACTTCCTAGGAACTCTGCAAAAATCATTAAAAAGTCGTGAATATCTTAAAAAAGTTTATAACATCCTACGTTTGGCCTCTTTGCATCACATTGATAGCATGCTGGGTATTGTCACACAGCAGAATGTTTTCAACTCGTTTTTGATCCAGCAGGTAATTGAACAGACGAGCATCAGAAATGTCCAGAATGTCCAACAAGCTCACCATTCCCTATGGAAAAAATTTTATTCAATCTAAGTACGTTTGAAGTGCATTAATTAAAATAACCTGGGGGATCTCTGCTCTATTTCTTGAAATGTCAAAACGCTTGTCGAAAAATTTGCTGACCACACAGGGGACAGCGTTTCCCAAGATTCGACGTGCCATCTTGTCCATCTCCTTCTGGTCGTTGTAGTTGTCACAGAAAAACACCTGCATCTCAGCTCTCAGCAGGTTCTCCACAGCCAAATTCCAGGAATAGTCTTTCAGTTTCAGCTGCAGAGTATGAAAAATTATGTTTTGATCAAAAATTATCAAATTGAAAAAACTAACATGCATTCCGATAGGCCCAATCGGCTTGTGCTTGAAAAGGCCTCTTTCCGCAGCCTTGTCCACTTCCCTGAGCAAATCAGGCATTCTGTTGCCGTAAGCGGGAGGAATGATCGAGACATCCGACTGTCTCCTCACTCTGTCAAAGTTCTGCTCAGCTTGTCCTGAAATTTAAATAGTGATTTGATTTTATTAGAATTTTGTTAAATTTACTTTGCTCATTCAAAGCAGATTGGTGGTGCTCCTTGGCAGCAGCAAGTTGTTGCTGCAGATCTCGCAAGCGCTGTCTGCCCTCATCCACTTTGACCAAGAGAGGTCGCAGCTCATTTTTAACCTCGGACAGCTGGACTTTATTCCTTTCCATCTCCTCCTGCTCCTTGGCCCTCTTCCTCAGCTCCTCATCAGCGGAACTGAAATTGAACATTCTATATATTTCAACTGAGATTTTAAATTAAATTACCGATTGGCAATTTTGCTGATTTCTGACTGCAGAACTTTCTTTTCTTGATTCAGAGTCTGCAACTGTTTGTCAAGCGAGTTCTTGGAGCGACGCATCTCGTCCAGCTTGGACTGAATCTCAACGTGCTGCTGCTGCATTCGGTCTTTCTCATCTTTCTTCGAGGTGTACAACATTCGTGCATTAGCGCAGTCTACATTTTGCTTCCTAGAAGAAAACATAATTTAATAATAACAGACCAGCACAGGAATATTAAAACTCACTTGATCTCCTCCCTGTAGTAATCCATCTTTTTGGCCACTTTCTCCATCTTAGTCTTGTGCGTCTTTGAGTCTTCGTCTTGCGCCTCCAATTTGGCCAGCAAGGAGCGCTCCTTCTCCTCTTCCTCAACCACAGAGGCCCAAGCCAACTCAAGCTGCAACTGGTCGATTCGGGTGGAGGCCTGTTGAGCCTTCAGCAGCTGCTTTTGCTTCGTTTTCCAATCTTTCAGCTGCTCCTCAAGCTGTCGAAGGAAACTGATCATTTGGTCTCGTTTTTCTCCCAAGGAGGCCAGCTTTAAAAACAAAAACAAAACCATATATACATAAATTCTGCTGCACTTTCAAAAATTTCTTACATTATCTCTCAAAAGAGCAAGGCGGGTCTTGATGGCTGTAATCCCAGTGCCTTGCTCGATCAGGTTGTACATGTGGCTAGGCTTGTTGTTGTTCAGGAATGTCTTCATAGTCTCTTGAGTGAGCAGGGCAAAAGGGTTTGGGAGGCTGATGTTGAGCGCCTGCAAGATTTCGTTGAGCTCAGCCCGCCCGCAAGTGCCCGCACCACCTGTCGCCAATCCAACTGTCAACCGACTGGATCCCTTCACTGAAAATAATGAAATAAAATTTTCACTCTAACTAAAATTTCTAAAATGAGACCCACCTGAAATGGTTCTATTGAGGACGATTTCGTGTCCGTACTTCTGGACCTTGTAGGCATTTGGGCCTCTGTTTTTCAGGGTGATTTTGATGCACGCCTGTCTGCAGCCAAGCCGCACGAATGCGGCCAACGAGCGGCCACGGGCTGTGTCTGACGCCTTGGTGCCCAACACCACCATGAGGGCGGACATGATGGCCGACTTGCCACTGCCGTTCTTGCCCACCACCAGGTTCACCTTGGGGTTGAACTCGAGCAACAGGTGGCCGTGGCACATGAAGTTGGTCAGTTCCACCTTGATGATGATCCCAGCCAAGCCGGACTGAGGATAAAAATTTGTGAGTTGCCCCACGTGTGTGATGAAATCTAGAGAGGTTAAAAATACTCACACTAGGCGTTTGCTTCGGCGGTTTCTGGCTCGGGTTTTGCGACCTTCCTTCGGCTTTCGGCATTTTGGTTTGGGTCTGTAATCAGTTAATTTTGTCAGATACGCTAATAGCAACATGTGTTCGTGAAATTTCGTCATTTTCAAACGACCTTTTCACGAATTCGGCATGTTCTAAGATCATAAATTTAACGTTAAGTAGTCATTAGAACTTACTTTTTCCTTAATCACGAACTACAATTGCGAGGCAACCACCTCGGAAGCTGGAAAATCCAAATTTCGGCGGAATCTCTTAAGTCACCACCGGCATAACAAGTTTCCCAAAAGTAACGAAAAGGAAAAGGCGCGAAGCAACTTTGAGTTTTGGCCGTGTAGGGGGCAGCTCGTGTGTTGAAAACAAGTCGACACTTCGCTAAAGAGCGCGAAAAACACATGCTGCATTATTTGCTGCGTTGTGTATTGTGTTCTCAACAAATCGCAATTTTATGATTCCATGTGTCGTGTAACGACACAGAATTAATATCAACATCCATCCGAGCCCAAACTTAACGCTATTCCCAGAGCTGGAGACTGGCCAAGGAGAACTCAGTTTTGTGTTGCTTCGGGGTTTGTGTTTAAGCTTAATTGGGTTGAGAAAGAAAGCTGGCCTTGCTCTTGCCTTAACTCTAATTTGCTGACTAGTTAAGTTGCCTTAAATCTCCACTAATTGGCTAATCCTTAATTTGACGTTTAATTCTTATTCCTACCTTTTAGCTTTACTTTAGTTGTTTATGTTTAATTTACTTAGCTTTAACCTCTTAGTTCAACATTCACTCAAACACGTGTGGCACACGTGCATCTTAATTACTCTTAATTCAGCTTAAATTCTCTTAGTTGCTTTTAATTTAGTTTTAGAATAACTCTTAATTACTTTACTTTATTATTCTATTTAAGGGTTTATGTTTGACTTCAAATACGACAACAGATATAATTTAAAATTATGATTAAGGTTATATTTTCTTAAGTCCTAAACAATTACAAAATATGATAATAATTCGCTTAATAAATGGCCAGAATAGTTACGTTAATATTGTTAATTGAGAGTTTTGTAAAAAGGGGATTCTTGGGTGCTTAAATAACAATTACCAGAATTGGTCGAAATGTGCTTCTCAAAAATGGCGATTTTGGAGATTGATAAAAGTGTACGTGTTTGCGCTGTGAGTCTCCCGGGCCGTCTGACTTGTCCGTTGGCGCTCAGCATTGAGGAAGGCCCGCGTCGACAGGACGTGGAAGTAGGCAGCGCCAGTCAGGGCGCTACGCTCAGGTAGTTTTTACTCAGGTGGCGGCGCGCGAGAATACAAAAGTTTCGGTGGGGCTGACTTTACTACATGATAGGGATTCTCTCTTAATTTTCAAATGGCCTAAATTGTCTTAAAATAATTATGTAGCTGTTTTGCTCAGTCTTGGTTCTCGGTCCGTAGCTCAGACTGGACCACGTCACCATGTCTTATCCTGTTTATGTCATATAAATTATGTTAATTAAGTTTCAGGAGTAATTTATTGCACCAAATAATTGTTGTTGTTGTTGTTGTTGTTGTATTTTGATTTAATTGGCTATAGTTAATACCATTTAGCCAGGTCTTATTTATGTTGGTTTAATTTTTACTAGTTGTATTTACATTTAGGAAAGATGACCTGAAACAGGGCATGCAATGCAAAATAGATTTGTCTATTATTTGTTAAGAGGATTGTAGACAGATTGATAGAGGAGTTGAGATGGAGCTGTTTAAGGCAGCTCATCAGATTTTTTCTTGCAGGAGCTAGTCGAGGACATGCAAGCAAAAGGTGCTCTAGCGAACAGGGGTCGTGGGAACAGACACATGCTGATGAATGTGCTATTTTCCATGCAAAGAGCCTATCAGGGGTTGGTGCATGCACAAAGCGAATTCTATGAATACTGGTATAAAAGCTTCTTGAAAGACCAGGAAAGGCAGTAAACCAGGATTTACGAGGAACAATTCCTGACGGATGAAGCAGAGCATATTTTTTACCTTTTGTAATATTTAATACTCTCCAGCTTGTATTCCACTGTTGTGCTGCTTCTTTACGGATTAATTTTTCCAAATCTGGTATTGGTGTGTCAATTCGTCTGATAGTAGGTCCCCGACAAGCTAAGTTAGCAACTTTATCGGCTATCACGTTTCCTTTTATACCTATATGGGATGGTATCCACAGCAGATGAATTTGGAATCCTGCTGTTTCAAGCTCGTGTATGTGCTCTCGAATATCTGCAATAATAAAATTTTTGCTTTCAATAAATTTATCATTTGAAAGCTCAACCAGGAGACTTTGTGAGTCTGAAAGAAGGTATGATTTCTGAGGAGGCAAATTATGTTTGATGTAGTTTAGTGCCATACACAACGCCATCGCTTCTGCTGAGTAAATTGAGTAAGTTAAGGGTAGGGTCTTTATGAGAGCAAAATTCTTTCCAGCAAAGTAAGCTGCAGCTGCTACTGATCCATCTTTTTGTTTGGAGCCATCTGTGTAAATCTTAAGGCTTTCTGATGCTGTTGTGTGAAGGAACTGTAGAATTAGCTGCTTAGTCTGTGGTGGCAGGCTGTTCTTACTGAACTTAGACCATGGAGTTTCCAGCACTGAAATGTGTTGATTTAGGCTGATTTCCAAGTGTGATGGTGACCATTTTTTAATTGTAGGAGCTGTATCTGAGGTCCATTTTCTAAAAGCTGTAAGAAGTGGGTGTTTAGCAACAACTTGATTTTTAACTTTTATTCTCCGACTCCATTCTTCAAGTATTTGTCTCAGCCATTGACGATCAAACCTCAGTAGTTTTATTACTAGTTGTTCAGCTAGTATTTTAGCTGTAATTTTCATTAAAAAAAATATAGAATAAAAATGGGTAAAAATTTATACAACATTCCCAACATTCAATTTGTTAATAAGATTAAATTGAAATTAAAAAGCAGATTATTTGTATTTTAACAGGAAACGCTTTATTATTAATTCTGCCTTAATCCATAAAAATTTTCGTCATAAAACTCAATTATTTATATATTATTCGCGATTATTTGTTCACATAATATTTATTTTTCATTTTTAAATTAAAAAATGATCCATACAAGATAATTTTTTTACAAATGAAAATTATCAAAATTAATAAAAAAAAAAAATTATTCTTCGATGTACAAAAGAACTGAGGCAATATACCTGCACCAAATAAATATACAACACACACCTGCACACCAACACCTATGATAAAGGATAATTTAAAAATTTCAGATAATATTTTCAGAATAATGAACGTGTTATGTGAATTTAGCGGAATTTAGATTAAGGTGAAGTGGATATTCTTGACAAGGCATATCGGCTTTGATCGTAATTTGAACTCATCTTGGCTTTCTTCCAACTGCTGAAGGATATTTATATTCCTAAATATCTTAGCCACCAAGGGATTGTTGCTCAACATGTCTCTTTGCACGCATTCCGCATACGTCTCCCTTAGCTTTGCATTTCTTTCTGTTGGTCACACGCAGGTTTACAAGCTGCTGCGGTTTGAGTGTAAAATGCGTTTCTAAGAAAACACATTTATCTCGCCTCTGATTTTCGTCAGAACGCAAAATGAATTTCTGCGGCGCTTTGTCGACTTCAATGGTGAACTCCATATTTCTGTCAAAACATATTATAACATAAGAATTAAGGTTAGGAGTTTCGGGAATAAGAATTAGTTACCTGGGCCATCGATTGAGCGTGGTGGCAGTGGTGGCGTTCATTTGAATCTAATCGAATGTAAGGGTAGAGGAAATATGGATTAGCGTGTGATGGAACGGTTGTACTTGGCCCGTCGCCATCAATACTTTCTTCATCATTGCGAAGACGTTTGCTAGGATCTTCCACGCACAAAAGGACCTCGAAACCATGAATAATCATCGAATGATTTGGATTAAAAAATATGGTGAACCGCTCGTCAGGGTAAACATCCACAAGGTCGCCCGAAACATGCAAAGTCTCCATGGATTCTTTGACGAGTTCATCCGGGATCAAGATTAATTTTGTTCGCCTGCCGAAAGGAACGTCTGCAAAATAAATCTTGTTTCGCTGCGTTTTGTTTGGATTAATTGCAGCAGGTGGCACGGTGTAGCCAGGTACGCTGCAATAGCCATAGGCTGCGCCAATCTCGAGATAGGATATCTCCTCTTTTGTCAACCACTCGTATATTGGCTTCAGTGTCTCAACTCTGTTCACTGATAGCAGACGCAAATGTGGAAGAGCTGCGCGAAACACATTCCTAATTATAAAAATAGAAAAAATCATTTTTTTTTATATATTAAATTTTTGTATCTGACCTTGCTTCCTCGCCTTCCTTCGTCCTGGCAAAATTTGCGCAGACCTTAATAAGCTCCGTTTCTGAAATAGCCATCTTATCCAGGCTAAGAAATGAAACCAGCGCTTTGGTGCTGATTGTGCTGAATTTCGGGCTTTTCAAACTTGAAATAGTGCAGGTTGCTAAGATCTGTTATAATTTAACTCATTTATAATAATTAATATTTATTCAAAAAGCTTTATATTTTACCTTTTTGCAAGCGTCAGCAACAAATTTCGTCATAGGCAATCTTTCAAAGACGATCCAAACATTATTAGCAGTGAGAAACTTCGCAATTAATTTTGAGGCGAAGTCGCCCAGATCTTTAAAAAGGAACTCATCAGCCGCTTCAGCTAGCTCGATGGCGTCCTCCAAAGTCTTTATATCGGTGAGAGTGAGAATACGAGAGACATGCGCAACCCTGCAGTTGGAAATGATCAGTTTTTGTTTCTCAATGTATAACAGAAAATTAGTTCCTCCGGATAAAGCGATTAAAATTTATTTTAATTAATATTAAACGTTTAAAAATTTAATAAATAAGTTTCAATATATATATATATATATATATATATATATATATATATATATATATATATATATATATATATATATATATATATATATATATATATATATATATATATATATATATATATATATATATATATATATATATATATATATATATATATATGGTCTTTATTGAAAACTCAATTGAGTACAACTTTCAACTTACATCTTAGAAGGTTAAAATTAAGATTCACAATTTATTTTATCAGTTTGCGCGACAGGGTTTCCAAAGTTTTTCACTTATTTTTAGAATAGTCATTAATGCTAAGCACTCGGTGGTTGCACTCAGCCAGATGATATTGGGTGCATTTCTCACCGCATAGCAAACACACGCATGAATCACTTTCCTCGAAACACTGTTGGCGCTCGGAACTATTGCTACAGATTTGATTATGAAAGCCGTGCATGGCAAAGCGACAAAACACATGTCTTTTATCAAACAAGGGTTGTTTCCATACATCATTTCTCATTGCCGGCGTGTCATTGAATTTCACATTAAACCTATTTTCATGTTCAGAATTATAGCTCTCAAGGAACTTGACATAATTACCCGTCTCCGGGAGATCGTATTTTTCTTTCAAATCGGTAACAAACAATTTCTCATCGACTAATTTGTACACATAGGTGTTTTTGTTGTATTTTGAAACTCCCATTACTATCTTAAAATATCGAGATTTCACTTTTTCTAGTTCTTCAAAATCTTTTTCACTGAGATGTTGCCAAATAATTTCAATACCGTAAGAGGCCATCGGGGCAAATTTCAAATTAAACAATTTTTTCGCACAATCAATAGACAATTTTCTCAAATCTCCATACATATTCATCGCAGTTAGCGCATTTTCCTTTCTCCGTGCAATATGTTCAGTGAAATCTCTACCTGATCTTTGGAAGTAAATTCCTAAGTATGGGAAGTTTTTTACATATTCTATTTCATGGCCGTCAATCACTATTTTATCGTCCTTTGCATATTTCCCCTTTCCTCCTGTTGTGAATTTCATCATTTTTGTTTTTGAATAGTTAGGTTTCAAATAGTTTTCTTTAGCATATTCTACAAATTTGTTCATGACTGCTTCAATTTTCTTAACATCGTTACTAATAAACACCATGTCATCTGCATAGAAATAAAAGTCTACTCCTTCGATTGTTTGAAATATTTTCACAATATCATAGATATATATGTTAAAGAGGAGGGGACTCGAATTCATTCCTTGCTTGAATCCATTTGACTCAACAAAAGGCTCAGATTGAGATATTCCATCATTAATACTAATAAAATCTAAGTCTAAAAATTCGGCCAGTAAACTCAATTCCGTTTTGGACAATTTCTTTTGATTTATAATTTTTTGCAGCAGTATTTTTCTATTTGACAAGTCAAATGCTTTTGTGAGATCAATAAAAATAGCATACATCTTTGTGCCTTTTTCATTAACGGTTTCGATAATTTTTGATTGCAATTTCTGTGCCGCCTCGAGAGTTGACTTGCCAGGCATGAAACCGTATTGCTCCTCGGGTATTATGTTTTTAAATTTTTCCATTATTCTCCTGCTCAGAATTTTGTCAAGTAGTTTACATAATGTGTTGCTGAGGCAAATTCCTCTATATGAGTTACAGTCATTAACACTTCCTTTATTTTTGTACAAAAGTTTCATTGTGGAATATTTCCATTGCTTCGGAATTTTTCCCAAGGTCAGACATTTATTGAAAAATTTGTTGAAAAGTGGAAGCATGAATTGAACAAGGGATTTAATATTTTCATTTGTAATGAGGTCTGGGCCAGGAGCCTTTTTGTTTTTCAGATTTTTCACTGCCCAGAGAATTTCCGCGTCGAAAATTGGTTCGCAGGAAATTTCTTCATCATAATGGTTTAAGAGCGATTTTAGGTTTAAACTATCATCTCCTTGAAAGTTTTCACAGTTGAGTATTTTTGTCATGTGTTTAATCCAGTCTTCGAGGTCAATGGGGTTTTGTATTTTATCAATTATTTCGACTGGCTGTTTTAGGAAGCGGTAAGCTTCTTGTTCTGCCTCAAATATTATTTTTTCTTCTTGTTTCTTATTAAATGTGAGTTTTTTACTTTTTAGCAGAATTTTGTAATCTTTCTTAACATCCAGCAGTCTTTTCAGTAGGAATTCATTTCTGAAATTTGACATTAGGAGTGAGTGATAGATATGAACAAGGTCCCTTCTTTTCAGAAAGCATTCGCAATCAAACCATGGTTTACTTATTCTATTATTTTTGCGAGGGACCTGTTTTGATTTTTGAACTATGTCCAGAATGTGTAGATAAAAGGCTTCAACATTGTCATTATCGATCAAAGTATTTAAATTGACATAGTCATTATTAACTAGGAATTCAAGTCTCTCTAAATCAATTTTATATACTGGTTTTGCTTTATTTTCAGAGATTTTTGGTTGCTGTGAAGTAGAGTTGGAAATTGAGGCGGCACATGTCACCGGGTGGTGTTTCTTTTCTATTTCTCCTTTCACTTGAAATTCTTTTTTAGAGACAAAGTGGTTAGCAAAGATCAGATCAATTACACTGCCTCTCCAACCCGGGTGACCGTGTGTTGGCAAATTTAGATCATTGAACAATGAGAATCCATTTTTCTCCATTTTTTCGGTTAAGTACTTAGTTTTGCAATCATAATTTGTGGTTAATTTTTCAACACGACAGTTGAAATCCCCGAGAAGCAGAACTGGTTTATTATTACAATTTCTAATTTTCAGTAGAGTCATTTCTAAGTTATCTGAGAATTCATCCAGGTCATAACTTGGATGGAAGTAACACAAAACAATCACTAATTTTTCAAAAATTTGGATCAATGCAAAATCCTTAACTTCAATAGTTTCTGTTCTTTTTCCATATTTAAATTCATTTTTGAAATAGATTGAAATTCCTTTCCTTGCCCTCCCGTTGCTGTTTATTTTATTTGCCAGCAAATTTATTGATCTAAATCCTTCAATGTTAAACTCTCTTTCAGCAAATGTTTCTACAAAAAGTAATAGATCATAAGTTTTGAAAAATTCAGTTTCAGGAATTAATTTTAATTTTGACTCTAATCCTTCTATATTCCAAAGCATAAGGTTAATTTCGGTGCTCTTTACCTCGCCAGATTGAGATCTGAGCCGCCGGGAAAAACCGGTTGAATGTCCTCAGGCGTATCTTCGTCCTTATTGTTGGTGGCCTGAATAGGGGTATTGGTTGTGGGAGTTGTGGTGGTCCTCGTGGTGCGGCCGTGTGGTTTAAAGGAGAGTAGGTGAATTGTGATTGGCTGGTTGCGGAATTCATCTAGTAGAAGTTGGTGGATGAAGCTAGCGTTGATGCCGTCCAGCCCGGAGCAGATTCTTGGCAGGGAGAGTTCAGTGACCTTGTGTTCCTCTGTGTATTTGGCCAGTCCTCGTACCATATCCCGGGCACCTTGGATGTGTCCGTCCGGGTCGTGATAGAGTTTCTGATTGGATCGTGGCTTAGACACACAGAAGAGCATGAGGGAACCGTCTGGCATCTTCTCGGGTGCAATGTAGCCAGGGGCAGCATTCGGATGTCGAAGGAGCAGCTGGGCAGGGTCGAAACGCCCTACATTCTTGGTGTGGAGAGCGAGGCCGGCGCCCAGGTTGAAATCTGCACCAGTAGCTTGCCCTTTCACGCCTTTGGCTCTCAGTAGGTCACCTGTTTCCTCGAGAATAGTGCAGCGGCTCTCTGGGTGGCGCTGGAGGCCTTTGTTTCCGATTTTCTTTACTTCCATTTGATATTTCATGTATTTAGGCGTGGATTTCGGAGCCGGGTTCGACCTTTTTGAGTTTTGTTGGCGCTGTTGTTGATGGGCTCCGACATGAGTTTGGGTGTTCCTTTGGTTAGGTTTCTTTGATTGGTCATGGTGGGGCAAATTGTTGGAGCGCCGTTTTGGCGTTACGATTTTCCAGTCATTGTCTGCGTCAACGGCCGCGTGTTGCGATTTCGTAGCGCCTTTTTCATTTTGATTTTCATCTCGAGTCTGATTGGGGGTTTCAGAAGGGAGCTGCATTTGTGTGCCTGATACTCGCGCCACTGGAGTTTCAGAGCATGACCGATGGTGGTGCTGTTTCGGGGGCGTGTCACCTCCGAGAGACACGAGGGATGGGATTTCAGGTTCAGGTGGTCTTGATTTTGTTGGCAACATTGGAAAACCTTTAGATTGAAAACTTTTTTCATTTTGGGCAAAAATTTCCATTTCCATTTCAAAAACACGCTGTTTGAGGTACTCGATTTGGTAGTTGCAGTTTGCATGGAAACCGTACGGGTCCGGTTGTCTGGTAAAATGGCTATGGGAAGGCCCCTCCATGGTCCTCGGAGTTACCTGGTCCCTATAGCCCCGCATCATTGTTGA